ACCAAATATTGAAACATGGTGGTGTGATTTGATTATAGTGGGATCAATGACAAATATAGGGATATACAGAACAATATCAATCATGTTAACCAGCAATCATAGGGTTTGAGTGGGGATTATGATGGGATAATGGGAGTATATGGGATCCATATCTACCTATATCTAAGGTGGGGGCCCCAAACGAGAGCTTGCCTTTACATCTAATACAACAAGGATTCATAGGGGACATTACTGGGTGGTTCACCTTGTGGGTCAAGTTGGATGTCGACAAATCTTAATACCCTGCAAAGTTAGGAACAGTAAATCTATGGCCATGCAACAGGTACCATGTTATTTTGGAGGTACCAAATCCCAGTAGCCATGCGGGAGTCTGAACATGCGGGAAAACCCATGGAAAAAACCATGAACAAATCCCATGGAATTAGCCTCTGGCAATCTAACATAGGTATGGAACATCAGCATGTTTAAGAACGGTAAATGGTATCTATAATTCATCTATAAATTGGGCATCATAAATCATTAACATATATATATATTATAGTAAACAATCTACATAGACTGGTATCTAAAATAATGGGCCTTGTGTTAAATTCATGGAGGTGTCACTTTGATGGCGATTTTCGCACCGAGAGGCCCAAGGACACTGAGGCATCCTGTCAGGATACAGGGTCCACAATGAGATAAGAAGGTATGTAACCAACATTGACCAGTGGGGAATCTAAGCAAGATCATTTGTGCGGATAAATATAGATATACATATGTATATATACATATTTATATGGGTGCAGAATAGTTTTTGGAATTTTTGTTGGCTCAGGTTTTGGAATTGTTGTTGGTTTTCTTTCCTGGTACCATCCTTGTATTTGCAACAGTTTGGAACTAGAATCTGTCATTTTGCATGGTATTTGCTGCATTTTGGCATGGTCACCTTGCATTTTGCATGGCATTTGCTACGTTTGGCCATGTTCGCCTTCCATTTTGCATGGTATTTGCCACGTTTTGGCACTTCAACCTCTCATTTGCATGGTATTTGCTACATTTTGGTATTTCAAACGTTCATGTGGGTTTCTCTAAGGCTTCTTTAGGGTTTCATTTAAGGTTTCATTTAGGGTTTCTTTAGGGTTTCATTTAGGGTTTCATGTAGGGTTTCATTTAGGGTTTCTTTAGGGTTTCTTTAGAGTTTCATTTAGGGTTTCTTTAGGGTCTCATTTAGGGTTTCATTTAAGGTTTCTTTAGGTTTAGGGTTTTTTTAGAGTTTCATTTAGGGTTTCTTGAGGGTTTCATGTAGGGTTTCATGTAGGGTTTCTTATCAGGATTTTCAAACGTTCATGTGGGTTTTTTTAGGGCTTCTGTAGGGTTTCATTTAGGGTTTCTTTAGGGTTTCATTTAGGTTTCATCTAGGGTTTCATTTAGGGTTTCTTGAGAGTTTCGTTTAGGGTTCCTTTAAGGTTTCATGTAAGGTTTCTTATCAGGATTGTTTATCACGATTTTCACGCATTCATGAGCTTCTGCAGGGTTTCTTTAGGGTTTCATTTGGGGTTTCATTTAGGGTTTCTTTAAGGTTTCTTTAGGGTTTCATTTGGGGTTTCATTTGGGGTGTCATTTAGGATTTCATGTAGGGTGTCATTTCAGGTTTCATTTAGGGTTTCTTTAGGTGTAGAGTTTCTTTAGAGTTTCTTTTGGGTTTCATTTAGGGTTTTTTAGAGTGTCGCTTAGGGTTTCTTTAGGACGTCATTTAGGGTGTCATTCAAAGTTTTTTTAGGGTTTCATTTATGGTTTCTTTAGGGTTCAGTAATGGTTTTTTTAGGGTTTCATGTAGGGTTTCTTATCAGGAGTTCTTATCAGGATTTTTTGAAGGTTTCTTTGGGTTTCACCTAGGTGTTTACAAGTAGGAAAGAATAAAGCAAAAGAAAAGAAAAAACAAAGAGGCAGTAAAGACAGGAGGCAGAGAAGCAGAGGAGCAGGAAGTAGAGCAGCAAAAACACATGACTGAAGGAAAAAAAAAGTAGACTAGTAGAAGTAGAAAGGCGCAGATGCACAAAAGCAGAAAAGCAGAGAAGCAGAAAAGAAAAGAAGCAGGTAAAGTTTAAAAGCAGTAAAACAGAGAAGCAGGGAAAAACAAAGAAGCAGAAAAGAAAAGAAACAGGTAAAGCAGAGAAGCAGACAAGCAGAGCAGCAGACAAGCAGAGAAGCGGGAAAAGCAAAAAGCAGAAAAGCAGAGAAGCAGAAAAGCATAGAAGCAGGAAAGCATAGAACCAAGAATCCAAAAATAATTCCAAAAGGTGCCGCAAAAAAATACCAAAAATAAATAGCCTTCCTATTTCTATATATAAATAAGTATATATTTACATTTTTATATATATACATATATATATACATATCTATATATATATATAAATATATAAGTATATACTATATATATATAAATATATAAGTATATATATACATATTATATATACATATATAAATATATTTACATATACAAATATATACATATATACATAAATATAAATATACATATTTCAAACTATACAAATATATATATATATACATATTGATCATAATACAGATGATATATATATATATATACATATATTCACATACATATACATATATATATATATATATGTATATATATGTACGTATATATATATATAGTTATTTATTTATTGTGTCGGACAAAAACTGGGTCGTCCCCTATCGGTTGCGAAGATTTTCGCTCTTTGATAACAACCAGTAGCAAGTGCAGCTCGTTGTACAAATACAAGTAGAAGTAGAAAAAAGTAGAAGAAGTAATAGTAGAAGTAGAAGAAGTAGCAGTAGTAGCAGTAGTAGCAGCAGTACCAGTAGTAGCAGTAGTAGCAGTAGTGGTAGTAGTGGTAATAGTGGTAGTAGTTAGTAGTAAAGAAGTAGAAGCAAAAGGAGTAGAAGTAGAGGCGGTAGAAGGAGTAGTAGGAGTAGTAGTAGTAGTAGTGGTAGTAGTGGTAGTGGTGGCAGTGGTGGTAGTAGTAGTATAGAACTAGAAGTAGAAGGAGTAGAAGTAGAAGGAGTAGAAGGGGTAGAAGGAGCAGTAGGAGCAGTAGGAGCAGTAGCATTAGCAGTAACAGTAGCAGGAGCAGCAGCAGCAGCAGCAGCGGTAGTAGTAAAAGTAGAAGTAGAAGTAGAAGTAGAAAAAGTAGTAAAAGTAGTAAAAGCAAAAGTAGTAGTAGTAGTAGCAGCAGTAGCAGTAGTAGGAGTAGCAGTAGCAGTAGCAGTAGCAGTAGCAGCAGCAGCAGCAGTAGTAGGAGTAGCAGTAGCAGTAGCAATAGCAGTAGGAGTAGTAGTAGTAGTAGTAGCAGCAGCAGCAGTAGTAGTATCAGCGGTGTGGCAGTAGTAGTGGTAGCTTAGCACCAGTAGTGGTGGTAGTTGTAGTACTAGTAGTAGTGATGGTAGTGGGGGCGGTAGTGGTGGTAGTGGTGGTTGTAGCAGTAGTAGCAGCAGTAGTAGTAGTAGTAGCAGTAGTAGTTGTTGTTGTTGTTGTTGTAGTAATATTAGTAGTAGTAGTAGTAGCATGACTAGTAGCAGCGGTGTGGTAGTAGCAGTGGTAGCTCAGCAGTAGTAGGTCAGTAGTAGTGGATAGTAGTAGTAGTAGTAGTTGTTGTTGTTGTTGTGGTAGTGGTAGTGGTAGGGGATAGTAGTAGTAGTAGTAGTAGCAGCAGCAGTAGTAGTAGTAGTAGCAGCAGTAGTAGTAGTAGTAGCAGTAGCAGTACAGTAGTAGTAGTAGTAGTAGTAGGAGCAGCAGCAGTAGTAGTAGTAGTGGATAGTAGTAGCTAGTAGTTAATAGTTAGTAGTTTGTAGTTTGTAGCTAGTAGTGGTAGTAGTGGTAGTAGTGGCAGTAGTGGTAGTAGTGGTAGTAGTGGTAGTAGTGGTAGTAGTGGTAGTAGTGGTAGTAGTGGTAGCAGTGGCAGTAGTGGCAGGTAGTAGTGGTAGTAGTGGTAGTAGCGGTAGCAGTGGTAGCAGTGGTAGCAGTGGTAGCAGTGGTAGTAGCGGTAGTAGCGGTAGGAGTAGGAGTAGGAGTAGGAGTAGTAGGACTAGGAGTAGTAGGAGTAGGAGTAGGGGTAGGAGTAGGAGTAGGAGTAGTAGTAGTGGAGTGGTAGTAGCAGCAGCAGTACTAGCACTAGTACTAGTACTAGTACTAGTAGTAGTAGTAGTAGTAGTAGTAGTAGTAGCAGTAGTAGTACTAGTAGCAGCAGCAGCAGCAGTAGTAGTAGTAGTGGATAGTAGTGGATAGTAGTGGAGTAGTAGTAGGTAGTAGTAAGAGTAGTAAGAGTAGTAAGAGTAGTAAGAGTAGTAAGAGTAGTAAGAGTAGTAAGAGTAGTAAGAGTAGTAGTAGTAAGAGTAGTAAGAGTAGTAAGAGTAGTAAGAGTAGTAAGAGTAGTAAGAGTAGTAGTAGTAGTAAGAGTAGTAGTAGTAGTAAGAGTAGTAAGAGTAGTAAGAGCAGTAAGAGTAGTAAGAGTAGTAAGAGTAGTAAGAGTAGTAAGAGTAGTAAGAGTAGTAAGAGTAGTAAGAGTAGTAAGAGTAGTAAGAGTAGTAAGAGTAGTAAGAGTAGTAGTACCCTGAGCATCGGATATTGATTGTAATCAATAAGATCAGACAATTTCTTATTGATATTGATTTTCATGGTTCCTATTGAAAAAATCAATTGCAAACTGATCTTTTTGTATTGATCTGATTTGGTGCACATACTGATTTTCATGTGTTTTCCATTGGTTTTCCCTATTGATTTTCAGGCTGATGTTAAATGCTTTTCTTATTGATTTCTCTTGGCTTCATCAATTGAGAACCTGCAGTTTTGTGGCTTCAGAAAGGGACCTTTTGTGTCTCACCCTCAGCCTTGTCCAAAGGCTGTGCAGCTGCCTTGACAGAAGGTTGCTTGCAAAGGTTTATTCATTGTCACCAGCTGTGTGCCTTGACAAAAGGTTCTTTGTTCAATCCTCTCTTGACAAAAGGGTGGGTTGAGAATGAGTGGCAAAGGGGGGCACAAACATTTTGCCAAACCCTATGTGGACCCATACCTTCTCTACAAGGCTTTTCACACACATGAAGAGCTGCTCAAAAGCTTTGGAGCATATGAGACAGTCTCTAGGAGCCAAGCAACTGATGCCAAAGGTCTCATCCACTGTCTGCCACTTCTTGAAGACCTGCTGAAAATTTCTCCTTCTGGGGAAATTCACCCCAACCCCCTGAGACAAAGCATCATGAAACTGGTACAAGAGAAACCTGCAATGAACCAAACCGACTGGAATTGCCAAGTATGGACAAACATGAGGGCTGAGAGGGTGACAGTCATTTTGCTACACTTGAGAAGGTTGAAATCAGAAGAAGAAATGAGAAAGTGTGTGGGGAAACTGACAGGAAAGGATTGCCTCCAGCTTAAAAATTTGGTAAGCATGCTGGGAAATGATAGTTGTAATGGTGAGCCTCTTGACAAAAGAGATAAGGAGGAGCCTCTTGACAAAAGGGGTATGGAGGAGGGAAAAGAAGAGGAGGGAGAGGAGGGAGAGGAGGAAGAGGAGGAAGAGGAGGAAGAGGACGAAGAACAGAAGGCAGAGACACCCCCCCTTGACAAAAGGAGGAAGCTGCAGAAACATGAAAGTGATGTAAGTTTGAACTCATCAGGGTTCCCAGCTTGTCTGAATAGCCCTGGCCAGTCAGAACCCTTGCCATCCAAAGCTGACCCCTTGCCAAAAGGTGGTTCTTTCATGAAGAGGAGGAAGGGTCATAAGGTGGCTGCCCAATCTTCATCATGGAAGCCCCAAGACAAAGACACAGGCTTGACAAAAGCCATGGGGCTAGGGACCAAAAAGGAATCAACATCAAAAAAAAGCAGCAAAAAAAAAACTGCAAGCAGCACAGCCAGCTCAAGAAGCAACAGAAAACCCTGGCACAAGGTGTATGTTACATACCCAACCAACCCAGAAAGGGCCTACTTGACAGGCAGCACAGGGCCAGGGAAGAAAGCACAGCTCATCATTGAGGTTACCAGAAAGCAAAGCCCAAAGTACAGAGAGGTCATTGGGATCATCAAAAGAAAGCTTGAAAATGAACACATCACCAAGGAAGAAGCCATCAAGAGCAGGGCTGAGCTCCTGGGCTGGTGACCATGTTTTCCAATTTTTAAGCAGCTGCCTACCTTGAAAAAAGGTGTGGTGTTGCAAGTGGCACCATCTCCTTGACAAAAGGGGCTGGCCCCATGGCAAAGGTTTCACTATAGTTGCCCTTGCCAAAAGGGACTTGTGCAGCCATTTGCCAAACAGAAAAACAAAGCCAAAAACTGCAAAACATGCTCAAGTTTCAATACCAACCATCTAGGTTGTGTTGAATCATCACCTGTAAATATATAAATATATATATATATTCCTAAGGTGTTTGCAAAATGATGGATATTGCATAAGCATACATAGGCAATTAAATATGGTGGTATACATATGTGTATGTGTTGGTTTACCTATGCATACTGTTTTTTTGGAGAAGGGCAATTTAAAAAAAAAACAACAACAACAACAAAGGCATATGTGCACCTAAATCCAAGTTAGCCAATATTAGTTTATTCAAAGAATTTGTGGGGGATACCATTTTGATATGGACAGATTACAGTGTTGTGATGGTTTGGTTTCCCACAATCTTCTCAAAGAAACAATCGAACTCTTTGGGTTTTAGGGGCTAGCCATCAGTGTTTTCACCCTCCCATTTCAAAACAACATGCCACCCCCAAAGGTTAGCACTTCAGCATGTTGTGGGCCCTTGACAAAAGGGTTCCTTGCACCAGTGCTGTGGCCATCTGTTTGTTTTCTGCAGCACCTTTTTTGCTCAAACCTTTTTGTTTTCCACAGCACCTTGACCAAAGGTGCCTGTGGGGGTAGCAGCCTTGTGCCTTGACCAAAGGCCTTGTTGTGCAGCATCCTTGCCAAAAGGATGAAGAACAACAAAGGGAAAAAAGCTGGGTCAGGCACTGTGAGCAATGCAAGAAGGGCCAGGTTTAGAGAAGCAGGAATGAAAAGAGAGAATGACACTATGGAAAAAGAAGATGAACACTCCAAGAAGGTTGACTGGGAGAAAGACAAGAGACATGGCAACAAGAAACCACACCTGATGTCAGCCTTGGAGATCAAGTATAACTTGGCCAGCAAAGAAGAGAAGGCAGAATTGAAAAAGGACATGGAAAAAGAAAAACATGCAGCTTTTGACAAAAAAGCTGTCAAACCGGAGGATGTGAAGGAAGCAGCTGTTGACAAAACAGTTGTAAAGGAGGAGCCCACAGCAGCAGAACAGAAAGATGCCTTGACAAAAGGCAGTGATGCACCAGAACAGAAAGATGCCTTGACAAAAGGCAGTGATGCACCAAAGACTTTTGGGCCATCCAAAGAGCAACTTAAGAAAGGGAAGGAGCCTGAGAGGAAAAAAAAGCCACCAGTGCAAGAGGTTGTGGATTGGTGTGCTTCTAGCTCCAGTGAGTATGAGTACTACACTGAGACTGAAAGTGAATCTGAGGAGTCACCCCCCAAGAAAAGCAGAAGCCAGTCACCCCTTGACAAAAGGGGTCAAAAAAAATGGGTTCAAAAAGAAAGCCCACCCTTGGCTCTGCAAGAAGCTGAAAAGGTCGCAGTGGATTGGCACCACACCCTGGAATGGCATGACAATGTGTCCCCACAAAACATCAGGGCCTTGGATGCTTTGAAAGATGCTGGGTACCAGGTCTACCTTTGCAGTTTCTCAGGGTGGGACAGAGCCCAAGAAACCAAGAGACTGAGCTGGAAGGTATGGCAGGGCTGGGAAAAGCAAATCTACACAACAGAGAAGACTGGAAACTATGGAAAAGCACAGGCCTGCTATTACCACAACATCAAAACCGTCTTTGATGACACCTGGGAGGTCATTGATGAATGCAGCAGATGGGGTGTTGAAACATACCCTGTGGTGTCCAAGTGGGATGAGAAATACTGGGAAGGGATTGATACCTACAGGTCCTTTGCCCAGGCTGTGCAAGCTTTCCTTGACAAAAGGTGAGCTGAAACACTTGAGCTGCACTGCTCCTTGACAAAAGGAAGAAAATGGCATCCCATGAAGCTGCACAGCTACCCCACACTCTGTACAGTCCTCACTGGCAGGTCTCTTGACAAAAGAGATATGCCTGTAGTGTTTTTTTTGAGAAATGCCACTGCCTCTTGACAAAAGAGATGGTGGCTGTAGTGTTTTTTTTTTGAAAAATGCCACTGCCTCTTGACAAAAGAGATGGTGGCTGCAGTTGGGTTTCAAGCCCCTCCTTGACAAAAGGTGGTGGCCCTGGTGAAGACCCAATAAATCAAATAAGCAAAAGTGAAATAAATAAATAAATAAATAAACAAGTAAACAAATAAATAAATGAATGAATAAATAAATAAACAAATATATATGTAACCAATGAATTATTAAATTAAACTATTTTTTATATTATTAAAGAAGTTATGTATATTGTTTCTTTTTTGTTTGTGTACCTTTTTTGGTATGTTCACTGGTTGGAACAACAATGGAAAATATTTCATGCATATAAATTCAAGAATAAATAGAAATATATATGTGCAATAAGGTCATGTAAAACTTTTAGCCCATCAAATGAATGCTTGGAAACATTTGTTAAACCAGGTTTGCAATAAATTTTGAACACAACATTTCTCAAGGATTTCAATTTCATGAAACCTGAAATTCATATTAGCAATCCAACTAAAGTGCACAGAATTCAGGAAATCATCATGGGTTCAATGTTGCTTCTTTGGGATAAAAAAACAATTGTTAAGGCCCAACTAGTCAGGGCTTGATGGCTCTCAACCTTGGCAAAAGGTGATCAACAATGCTTTCATTTTTAAAAAAAAAAACAAAAATACAAATTTGACCAAATTTGACCAAATTTGACCAAATTTGACAAAAACCATGATTTGGTCAAATTTGGTCAAATTTGGTCAAAATTGGTCAAAATTAATCAAAATGGTATTGGCTAGTTTTTGGCCAGAATATTTTGGAAACTGTTGAAATTTGAGGTGAAATTCAAGGTTCACTGTTTTTTTTTTAAAGCCTTTTGTCAAGGCTGGCTGTGCATGAAAACTCTGGTTCATTAGTTTGAACTCTTTGGCATAGCTATATTTTTGGCCCAAGACAAATACCGCTATCCTTGACCACATTTTTTTATCCAAGCCTTGACAAAAGGTTTGGCTTCCAGGCTCCATGCCACCAAAAAAAAATCATGTGTGGAAAGGAATTTTGAAGAAACCTGCAGCCAAAGCTTTCCCTTGCCCAAAGGGCAAAGCCAAGGCAAAAGGTAAAAAACAGAAAAGCACCTTGACAAAAGGTGACCTTGCCAAGCTTGGCAAACTGAGTTTGGATGAGAGAGTGAAAAAAGTGAGTGAGGAAAACCCGTCTCCAGAGGAAGCTGCCTTGGCCTTGAAAGATTCCTTGACAAAAGATGAATCTGCGAAGATGTGGTCAAAACACCAGACATATTTGAAAGCCAAGCCAGAAGAGAGATCAGCCCATGAGCAACTCACAAAAAAGGAAAAAGGGCTTGAGGTAGTCCTTTGGTTTCTCAAGCACAAGAAAGGTATGTTCTTCCACACAGAAGCTTCCAAAGAAGCAAGTGAAACCTTGACAAAAGGTGAGAAATGGGTCAGTGAGATGAAAATGCTGCAAGAATTCAGCCAGGAAGAGTTCACCATGCACTTGAACAGTGGCAGGATTCTTTGGAGGTCTGACCCATGGACACCTGGAGTGTACAATTATTGCGACCAAGGAGACCAAAGCAAACAAACAGTATTGAAAAGGAAAAACAAAGTGACAGCAGGCCAGGAAAGGGAATTGGAAACAGAAGAAGATGAAAAGGAGTTTTTGGCCTTTTGGGGCAAGGGGGCTTTGGCCAGCATGCAAGAAGCTGAGGTTGCTTTCAAAGGCCAAGGTGCCTTGACAAAAGGCAAAAAAGATACCTTGCCAAAAGGTAAGGGAAAAGGAATGGCCAAAAGCTTGCTGGCCCTTACAAATGGTGAAGATGAGAATAGCAAAGATGAAGATAAGGACAAGAAAACACCAGAAGAAGAATGGGCTGACTGCTTGACAAAAGCACAAAAGAGCAAAGAACAGCTGAGGGTGGCCATGGCCAATTTGCAAGAAGCTTTGGATGCTGCCACTGCAGCAGGCAGAACTTCCAAGCAGGACAGGAAAGATGCCACCTTAGCTTTGAAAGAAGCCCAGGAGTGGGAGCAAAAGCTCAAGGCAATAACAAGCAAAAGCAAGGGAGGCAATGTGGAGTCAGCAAAGCAAAACATCATAGGTGCAGTGGCAGCCACCAACAAAATCAAAAAGGAGGTGAAAGAGTTCAGAGCATTGGCAAACAGAAGTTTTTCCAAAACCAGCAAGAACTAGAACAACCAGCAGCCACAGGTGGCCCTTGTCTAAAGGGCCCTTTGGACCCTTGACAAAAGGGTCCATGTATAGCTGGCTGTGGCAAGGGGTAGCCTTTTTTTGATGATGCCATTACCTTGCCAAAAGGAAATGGCTTGCACAGCTTATTGCCTTGACAAAAGGTGATTTGCACCCCAACTGGTTTACACCTTTCCCTCCTTGACCAAAGGGGTGGTGAAGGGTTTGTGTTGGACAAACAGATTTGAGGCACCAAGCTCAAAAAGTGCTGCAGTACAACCAAGCAGTGGCTTAGGGGGTAATCCACCACCAAATCACCGTGTTTTTTGGTGGTATTGGGTTTCACCAAAACTTTGAAAATACATGGGGACCACAAAGTTTGGGAGAACCAGCAGGTTGGCTTAAGGGCTCTAAAAGGTTGGTGTGGCCAAGGGGTGTCTAAAGCATGTTTTGTGCAAGGTTTTGGTTCAAGCTTTTCCTTAAAGGAAAGCATGCCTTGCCAAAAGGTTTTTTCTTTAGTGTCACCACCATGAAGCCAGTAAAGAGGCTGAGGGGTACAGATTTGGAAGTGGCTAAGCAAATCCCTGAAACCTTGACAAAAGGAAAAGGGGAAGGATCCAAAGGGGGCTTGTCTGAGCTGCTGCTATCTCTTTGGAGCCATGGGCAGCTGAGTGCCAAGCTAGTGCAGGAAGTGGCACACAAAGCCATTCTAGATGGTGCTCAAGGCCAAGACCTTCAGAGAATAGCAGCAACAGGGTCTTTTGGGGCCCAGGGAGGAAATGTGCATAGAGATATGTGTGCACAATTCCTCAAAGATTGCCGAATCAGCAAGGGAATATCTGTGGAAACAGAATGCCAAGACCCTAAAACTTCCAAGCCTTGTTTGGACATGGCTGGTGTCATGCTCCCTCACCTGCTGTTTTCAGATATTTTCAACCACTATCCAGACCAGTTTGACAAAATCTTTGGTGTGGAAGACCTCGAAAGTTTTTGGCAAGGTGTCGAGTATGTGAAAGATGACAGGCTCATGGCTCACCCCATATGCCTTGACAAAAGGACTGGGGTTGCCAAAGGAAAGGTGCAGGACAAGTCCCTCACCATACCACTCTTTTTGCATGCTGATGGTGTAGAGTACCAGCAAAGAGATTCTTTGCTGGTTTGGAATTGGGGTGGCTTCCTCAATGCATACAGCAGCCTCACTTCTCACTTCTTGATTGCTGGGTTTCCCAAATCTTGTACTATACATGACAAAACTTGGAAACCCTTGATGGATTGGATCCTATGGTCCTTTGAAGCTTTGCAGGATGGGGTGCATCCATCCTATGGCCCAGACAATGGACCCTTGCCAAAAGGGTCTGTGTTTGAAAAGCTTGCTGGGCAACCTTTGACACAAAGGGGGTTCAGATGCTGCATCTGGTCAGTGCAAGGAGATCAGGAGATGTTCTCCAACATCCTGTCCTTGCCCCACTGGAACAATTACTCACCTTGCCATGAGTGCGACTGTATGCAGCCAATGATCAAAAAGGAACCCTGCCCAGCAGGCAAGAGTTTCAAACTTCTTTTGGCCAATGACCAGAATTATGAATACATCGATACACCTGCAGCCTTGACAAAAGGCCATGCCCACCCCTTATTCAACATCCCAGGGCTGACCACTAGGATGGTGAGGCAGGACGGTTTACATGTGTTGTTTTGCAAAGGTGTTTGCAATCATCTATTGGGATCTTTGCTGCACCATCTCTGTTATTTTCAAGGAAAAGGAAAACAGACCAAGAAACCTGGTGATAGACTAGCACTTATCTTCAACCAGGTCCAAGAAAATTACAGATTGCTTGGTTCCAGCACAAGATTAACAAATCTGAAACTCTCAATGATTTGTGATCCAAGGCAGCCACACAAAGAGTACCCAAAGCTTGACTGCAAAGGTGCTGAAACAAAACACCTCTTGGCAGCTTTTCTTCCAGTTCTCAAAGCAATGCTGGATGCAGATGATGCATTGCACCAGCACATGGTAGGAGCTTTGCAGTCAATGGTTGAGTTGGTGAATTTGATTGACAGAGCCGATATGTACCCCACCCAAGAGGAACACCTTGAAGCTCTCAACCTTGACAAAAGGTTTTGTGAGCACTATTGGGGCCTCAACCAGTGGGCCCAAGAAAATGATAGAAAGCTCTATCATATAGTTTGGAAGTTCCATGCCATGCACCACCTCATCAAAAATTTTCAATTTTTGAATCCCAAGTATACATGGAATTTCAGAGCAGAGGACTTTGTTGGCAGGGTGTCACGATTGGGAAGTTCAATTGCAATGGGAGTGAAAAGCACAAGGCTAAGTGCTAAACTTTTGGTGAAATATCAAATTTTGCTCCATATGCAGCTCACCAGGCTTGGCTTTGAAATAGGAGCTGTCACACCAGACAGTGACCTAGAGTACTAGCCTTTTCCTTGACAAAAGGGAATCTGCACATGCTTGTGCTTCTTGGCAAAAGGAAGTTGCTAGAAATCCTGTTTCACCTTGCATGGTTTACCTTGCCAAAAGGTAGGCCTAAGCCTCCTTGACAAAAGGATGGCCTATGGAGCTTTGACAAGTGGAAAAAAAGAGCAATTTTGGAGCTCCTTAGGCTGCTGAACTCTATATCCTTGGCCTTGAACTGTATTGATTTACAAGGTCAAACTACTGCTGTTTGCTATAGATTTCAAGCCCTACAAAAGTTGTTTTGGCTATTGATTTCCTTATTGATTTTCATGGCAAACTAAATCAATTAGAAATATTGAAAAAAATCCAAAATCAATATCTTTGTTATCTTATTGATTACAATCAATATTCGATGCTCAGGGTAGTAGTAGTAGTAATAATAATAATAGTAATAGAAGTAATAGTAGTAATAGTAATAATAGTAATAATAGTAATAGTAGTAACAGTAATAATAGTAATAGTAATAGTAAAAGTAATAGCAATTAGTAATAGTAATAGTAATCGTAATAGTAGTAGTAGGAGAAGCGGTAGCAGTACGAGTAGTACGTGGGCATGGTCTCGGCAAGTGAGAATGATTGCAAAAAGGGGTATTGGTTGGTATCGGTTGGGGTATTGGTGGGAATGGTGCATGAATTGCTGCAAACAATATGCTTGGTGCTCTTCAAGAGAAAGCTAACTGAGCCAGCTGTTTACAGCCCTGTTTGTAGCCGTTGCTGTTTGAAAAAAACTACTCCAGATTATTGTGGGAACGTGCTGGAATCTAGGGGTATTGGTGCTGGGTCGTCCCCTATCGGTTTTTTGTATGTTTCATGAAGGCAAGCACAGTTTTGTCGGATACTCGTATATATATATATAACCATAGTCCATAGTTATAGGGGTTACATCCCAACTTATGGAGGTTATTACCATACTTATCCCCGTTTATAACCCCAACTGCACCACAAAGTAATTAATCTCTGGGACCCCCCAAAAAGTGTCTGAACGGATGGAAACCTGGCAATTACCCTCTGGTAAACTAACATAGCGGACTGGAAAATCACCATCTTTAATGGGAAAATCAACTATTTTCATGGGCCATTCTCAGTGGCAAACTGTTAAATTACCAGAGTGTATGGAGAAAGCATCATCTATACCATCCTGTTACTGTAACCTGGCTGCGGAACTCCCGATGTTTAAGGGGTAATCCCTTCCCCCAATCGTATCATATACCACCCAAGAACTGCTGCTTTGGTATTGCATCTATTCATTTTGGGGGCCCACACACATGGGTGGTATTCTATATTTGCATGTATTTGCGGGATTGGATTAATATTGGATTAGATGTAGAAGATTGTAGAAGTATACTTGACAAAGATTAGTGATTTTCAGTTGCCAGCGTAGATTGCTAGAATGTACTTGCATGTTCCCTCCAATTGTGCAGGTTGCAAAGCAGTAGTATATCATTCTGCTCTTCAATTCAATGGCATAGAAATTATGAAATTCATAGATTGGAAAACTATCGTCCCCAACAATGGCTCTAAGCTACCACTTTGGGTATGGATATCATCACAATGTTCGATGGATTTCGTAGGGGTTCTGCCCATGGGTATCTTAGATTCGCTTCTGGAACCCCCCAAAAAACACATATCCCCTATCGATTCCCCAAGTAGTGGATTTCCCATTGGAAACTACAAAATCATCAGCAAATCCAGGGGATCCATGCTTTGATGGGTAACAGCTCTATACCACCCAAAAAAATAAGAGTCAATGACTCAACACAAGAAGTTTGTGATTCAACTAAAAAAAATTTCCAGGCAAGAGACTCCACGGTGTGGGGGGAGTAGGAGGATAATGTATTATAATGTTGTTGATGATGATGATGGTGTTGATGATGATGATGCTGATGAGGATGTTGATGATGATGATGTTGAGGATGATGAGGTGCAGGAGGATGATGTTCAGGATGACGAGGTTGAGGATGATGATGTTGAGGATGTTGAGGATGTTGATGGTGAGGATGATGATGTTGAGAAGGATGATGTTGAGGATGATGAGGTGCAGGAGGATGATGAGGTGCAGGAGGATGATGTTGAGGGTGATGGGGTTGAGGATGATGATGTTGAGGATGTTGATGGTGAGGATGATGATGTTGAGGAGGATGATGGTAAGGATGATGAGGTGCATGAGGAAGCTGTTGAGGATGTTGGGTTTGAGAATGATGTTCAGGATGTTGATGGTGAAAAGGTGATGGTGATGATGATGATGATGATGATGAGGATGAGGATGAGGATGAGGAGGGAGGAGGAGGAGGAGGAGGGGGATGTGATGATGATGATGATGATGATGATGATGATGATGATGATGATGATGATGATGAGGATGAGGAGGGAGGAGGGAGGAGGGAGGAGGAGGAGGAGGAGGAGGAGGATGTGATGATGATGAGGATGAGGATGATGATGATGATGATGATGATGATGAAGGCGGGTGATGATGATGATGCTGAAGGTGGTGATGATGCTGATGACGCTGATGATGGTGATGGTGATGGTGATGATGATGATGATGATAATGATGATGATGATGGTGATGATGATGATGATGATGATAACCATGACCAGCCCAAAACGCGGACACACTTTGTGCGAGCCTGCGCAGTCGAAATGCATGTCCACATGTCACAAGAGACATCAGAAGAGCCACTTTATACGGAAATTTACAGGAAGAATGCCGGGGACCAGAGGGAGCACCCTGATCAAGCACCGGCCTTTACAGCTACCGTAAGAACCCCTCAGTGTGGACACACTGTTTGGGAAAAATCCTACCTTTCCCCATTTCTACGGGAATGTTGACACTCCAGGTATGGATCAGGAACAGTTCTACTATGTCCTACTTCTCTCCTACTCAAACCATCTCCCTTTTTTTGTCGCGTATTCCGTATTCCCATGATACTTTTCACTAATCTCAATTAAATCCCATTGATGACCACTTGAACCCCTACTTGGAGGATCATCCAACTTAGTACGAGATCAGTCCCTGAGAATCCGTGTCCTCCAATATAATAGTGCTGTGTTGCCAAAATAGCACTACAGTAATATACCATAAATATTAATAACATATATATATATATGAATAAATACCATAAATAGCTTAATAAAATAGCACTACCTGTCCATTGCAGGCATAGAAAAAAGACGGTTGATGCTAATTATTTTATGGTGATCTATTACCCTCTGGTTATTTAACATAGCCATGGTATAGATGGCCCATAGAAATAGATGGTTTACCGTTCTTAAAAATGGTGATTCTCCATAGTTCTGTTAGTTTACCAGAGGGTAAACCTCCATTTTCCTATGGTTTTCCCATTTTCCCATGGGTGTTCCTATGGTTTTCCTATGGTTTTCCTATGGTTTTACATGGGTTTTCCTATGGTTTCCCCATGGTTTTCCCATTTTCCCATGGGTTTTCCTATGGGTTTTCCTATGGTTTTCCAATTCACCGTTGCATTCACCAGCTACTCGTTGTGGGATCCTCCAAGGCCATGCCTCGATCAAGGTCAGGTTGATGTCTAATGGTTGGATACTGGGCCGTCGTAAGCTATTGCGCCTGGTGAAGTCACGACAGCTGCAGTTGGGTACCATGTTTATGAAAAATATCTATATATGTATATGTATATATCTATATATTTGTCGTATATATACATCTGTAATTGTATGTATATATATATATACATATACAATTACATATGTATATATGTATATATGTATATGTATAAGGCCACGGTAAAAATGTTCATCCTGATAAGCTGCAGATTCGCTCGAGCTTTCTTTTCAATTCGGTGTAGATCAATGGGGTATCAATGGGGATATGTCATGGGAATATCCAATATACGTGGTATATATGTGGTGAATTGGTAAATTAAAATATGTCACTAACCTGAATTGTTGGGCCATTTGGGGATAATTTCCCTAAAATAAACCATGATTTCCAGTGAGGGAGAACAGTGAGGTCGTTATAATTTACCCAGATGTGGTGAATTGGTAAATGAAATTGCATCCAATATGTCTGGTTGGTGATATACCTACCTACCCCTCTGAAAAATGATGGAGTGAAAGTCAGTGGGGATGATGAAATTCCCAATATATGGAGAAATGAAAAATGTTCCAAACCACCAACCAGCCTTCATGTAGACCGAGCAAATCCCGTTTTACTCGGTCTACCATTTGCATTGCTTCATTCATAGCTGATTTATCTGTTAAAATGGTGATTTTCCATAGCTCATCGTTAAATCATGAGAACGGAGATTCCCATCAACTAATGCATATTCATGGATACTTTTTTGAATAGCGGACAAGATTATTTGTTAAATTTAATGCCATGCACAAATTAGGGTCGTCCCCTATCGGTTGTCAGGATTTCAGTAGGTATCACAAATGGGGTATCGGTACAGGGTCGTCCCCTATTGGTTTTGAAGGTTCTGTGCAACCTCAGAATAGTATTGCAATAATTTTGTCCAGTACTCATATTGTTTTAATAAGAAGAATTATATAATAGTTATTCTCATGAGGCACCAACTACCACCCTACCAAATACCACCCTACCAAATACCATAACTGTCTGAGTCTAAGTCTAACGAGCTGTCTGATTGAGATCATAATTGTGATGAGCCACCAACTACCACCACCCCCCCCCGCGCCTCACTTCCACCACCGCCTGCGCCTGCGGAGATATTAGGTCGCTCACGAACGGCAGCGGTGGCCGAGTGACGGCTGGCTCCTCCTGAAGTGGGGATTGAACCATCAAAAAAATGGGGATGGAACACATACAGTCATACAGTAGATGGTTGCGTAATCCTGTACCAGTTGATAGTTTTTTTTAAGAGGGAAAACAACACGGTAAAATATTGTAACTATTCTAGAGGAATGGCACCCCTACTGTGGATAGAAGAAATCCTGCACCAGTTGATAGTTTTTTTATCTGATTTATAGGTTTCAACCATCGGTGGTGCAGGATTTCGCTGGCCCATCCACAGTTGTTGTTGGAAATTGACCAGCCAAATGTCGTTTTTTTTCATGTTGAAACTGTTGAAACTTCATGATTTCCACCGAAAGAGGAGGATATCCAGGATATAAATTGGCAGGCTGACCAGCCAAAATTTTGGTTCCACCAGCAGAAAGAGGGGGATATAAGATATTCAAATTGCAAGGGCTGACCAGCCTGAAAAAAATTGAGCCAATCCTAACATTGGGTGTTTAAGCCTTAATTTTAGGGGTTGAAACAACAAAATAGAACTGGTTGGTGGGTTCAACCCCTCTGAAAAACATGAAAGTCAGTTGGGATGATGAAATTCCCAATGTACGGAAAAATAAAAAAAATGTTCCAAACCACCAACCAGATAACGAATCTTGGGTTGACATTACTCCATGGCCAAAAATCAAACCATTCAACTACCCTTCAACTGCCGAGTTCCCGGAAGTTTGTACCTGGCGGTTCACCCCCACTTTGTCAATAAATGTAAACTCGTTGGTGGTTTTAACCCTCTTGAAAAATATGAGTTCGCCAATGGGAAGGATTATACCATATATCATGGAAATTTATGGAATATAAAAAATGTTTGCAACCACCAACCAGATGTATATCCCTGATTAAAAAAATGGGATAAGAAGGCTTAATCCACTTGGGTGTGACCGAAAATTGGGTACGTACCCCCAAATGGCATTTGTTTTTGAGAAAATGATGATGAACCAGTCCATGGACTGGGTTTTTACCACTACAGAACCAACCGCAACGCAACTCCCAACAAGATGCCGAAAAAAAGTGTTTCCAAGATGCCATTTGTCCATGATGTGCTCCCCACATTTTCCAGGTTTGAGGCTTGCAACTGATGGGATCATCCAACGGCTACCGGTTCATAATCTTGGTTCCTAATATACTGGAATAGTGATTGTAATGGTCAATGATCATTATGCTTCACTATAGTGTTAATAATAATGAACTAATGGTGATTAATAGCACATTCCCATCATTCCATTAATATTAGTGATTAGTACAGGATGGGGCCCCCAGTCGATACCGTGCTAAGTTGCCTGAAAAAAGTGGTTGAATGAATCCTCTGGTTTATGGTAGATATAACGAACTAGTTAATGGTGGTTATTTCATGGTTTATAAACCAATGTTCACATCACTGGGGGACCCCATCCTGTAGGTTATCCATGGCTATCCCATTTCGAGGTGGCTTACAACTTGACGAACATCACATCAACGAATCGTGGGATGATCCTCAAAGAGTCATGAATGTCTCAATGGGAATTTCAGGATCCGATTGATTGGAAGTACCTACCATATATAAGGCCTATATACGGCCTATGTAAGGGAATATCCCAACAAAATATGGTCTTATATGGTACAGTACCTCCATTTTAGGATCCTGAAATTCCCATTGAATGTCCGGTTTTTTTGAATTCCCATATTTTACATCTAATCATCCCATTATGATCCCAATATGATCCCAATATGATCCCAATATGATCCCAATATGATCCCAATATGATCCCAATATGATCCCAATAATCGTGGGAATTCCAACTTTATAAAAAAGGATTTATGTGGTAGTAAATCACCCCCAATAATCAATATGTGTCCAACTTTTTTCCATTTCTTGGGGGTTGCTGTACTTACTAAAGTGGACTCCGCGCCCCACGTCCTCTTCAACTTCTACTTGGATGGAAGGCCGCCCGAAGCCTCTGGTGGTTGGAGAAATCACTGGTTTCAAGGGGGAAATCATACAACGATGGTGGTACAGCCGGAAGTCAATGCGATATTGATAGAGGCATAAGGTATACAATGTATGTGTATGTATATGTATATTATATATATATAAATTATATAAATATAATTGGATTTATATGTAGTAAATGGAATCATGATCTAGCCAGTTGATATCATCGCCCCAATTTTCTGGATGAAGATTAGAAAATATCCCAAGAACCACCAAGTACCAATAGGACATTCGTCACTTCAACTATCACCAAAAACGACTCGTGACTAACGCTAGTAACTGGACTTAGTTCACCCATTCATAGGAGAATCCACTGAATGGGGCCTTTAACTCTCACCAGGCTTATTATATACTCTCTGGTAAATTAACATAGACCCTGAAAATAGCCATTGTTTCGTTGCAACTCATCTTCCCCTCCCTATCTGCCAGGGTCAACATGTTAATGTACTGGAGGGTACATCTACCACTTCGCCGTGGTTCCTGATCCTCCAAAATCTCAATGGAAATTCCAAGATCCTAAATTGGAGGTACGTTAGTACCATATGTTAGGCCATATTTTGTGGGGATATTCCCTAAAAAATAGGCCTGAAAAATAGGCCTTACATATGGTAGGTACCTCCAATCAATCGGATCCTGTTGCATGGCCATTGAAAAATCCGAGCCACGTTGTCGATTTTGCTGCGCTACCAGTTGCTGGGAAACCAAGCCTGCGCCTCGACAGGTTTCAGTTGCTGGGAAATCAGAGAAATTTGGGGCCCCCGTTCGGCCCGTTGCGTTCAGAAACGCCTGAAAAAAATGGCTGAATGAATCCTCTGGTTATGTCAAAATAGCTATTGAAAATGGCCATAAAAATAGTGGATTTGCCCATGAAAAATGGTGATGTTCCATAGCTATGTTAAATTACCAGAGGGTAACTCTGGTTTATGGTAGATATTTCACGAACTAGTGAAAATAGTGGTTATTTCATGGTTTATCAACCAACGTTCACATCACTGGGGGGCCCCATCCTGTACCCGTCACAGTTGCTATGTGTTGTTACTAATATGATGGGAGTTCACATTTTGTTGTATTGGTTCGAGAAACCGCTGGCTTTGGGGTGCCTCAGTACCAAAACTCCATAGGCGCACTGTACTGTCCAGGCTTTGCTGAACGAAAATGTGGACCCATACCACTTGAGCAGTGTTCAAAATCCCTCTATCATTCCATTATACTGGTTGGTTTATAGGGATTCCCCTATTGGATTATTTTGGATTATTATAAGCCTCATTTGACACCCCGCTGTTGAGATCTCATGGGATACCATGGTTCAATTGGAATTTCAGGATCCTAAAATGGAGCTACTGTAGCATAGTTTTGGCCATATTTTCTGGGGATATTCCCTAAAAAATAGGCCTAACAAATAGGCTTAAAAAATATGGTAGCTCGCTACCTCCAATCAATCGGTTCCTGAAATTGCCATTGATAAAAATATGGGATTTATTGACATATTAATAAATATATGGTAACTATTACAAATATTGCCATTGATAATGGGATTCCATTGATATGGTACTATTGGGGGGTTATAGTACCATATTAAAATCCCATTATAAAAAGTTGGAATTCCCAAGATGATTGGGATCATTTCATGGGAATTTAATCTAAATCATCCACCCGTGGATATATCATGGTTATATAATGGTTATATAAGTTATATAATAATTAAGTATTTGGGGTGGACTTGGTGGTTCGTAAGTGGATTATACATATGACATAAACCCAACTATGGGATAGGTACGGCAAATCCACCGTCACAACAACCTAGTGTCTACTAGTTTTTTTTTTACAACTGAACTATATAAGCCACTTACTCAATGGGATAACTTCGCCAGCATTTTTTTGGTTGTCAACCCTGGATTTCTTTAAAGCCCATACGGCCGTTGAAATTATGGTTAGGAGTCATGGAACTATAGATGGGTAGGATTTTCAGCCACGTTGGATGCGCGGTAAATCATCCACCATGCGTGGTATTTGTGTTTAAACCCATAGGAAAGCCATAGGAAAACCCATAGGAAAATGGGAAAACACAGGAAAAGTCATAGGAAAATGGAGGTTTACCCGGCCTGGTCAACGTTCACAGTTCGCGGACTGAAGAAAGATCCACCATCTTTAAGTTCGGTAAAGCAACGAACTAAATGGGCCATGTTCAATAGCTATGTTAAATTACCACAAGGTGGTGCCCCATAGTTAGCTAAGTTGGTGCAAATAACTCCCATAACTATGGTTTATGGCAGATATAACTATAGTTAATGGGGTTTATAAACCAACTTATAACTGGGGGGCACCATCCTGCAGAGGCTACCCATGTTCCGCTGGTCGAACGCCTATTTCTGTTCACACAACCCCTATTCATTGTTGGTTACCCATCATGTGGGTCCTAGAAAAGTGAGCCCATAGTGTGGAGTATCACTGCGGGTAGAGAATGAACACTTGAGACACTCCAATCCCACCTACACTGTACTGTCTATCTTGGGACTCTTGATACCTGGATGTGGTAAGTGGTCAACAACCACAGTATGGCCGACTTATGTATATATACATATATATATATATGTGTGTGTGTGTTTGTGTAATGTATATACTGTATATGATATATATATATATATGTATATATGTATATATATGTATATATATATATATGTATATGTATATATATGTATATATATGTATATATATGTATGTATATATATATATGTATATGTATGTACTTATATATATGTATATGTATATATATATATGTATATATGTATAATGTATATATATATATGTATATGTATAATGTATATATGTATATATGTAAATATGTATGTATATATGTATATATGTAAATATGTATGTATATATGTATATATGTAAAAATGTAAATATGTATATATGTATATGTATATATATATATCCCATTATATATATATACAGTATATATATATATGTAGTATATTAATATACATTATATATATATATGGGTGATGTTCACCGCTTGCGATGCAACTGGGGACAGCACATGCCGTAGTAGCCTAGCCGAACGGTAACTACATTTAAATATACGGATTTTTAAATTTACGAACAGGTATTTTAGACTACCTCCGGGAATGTTTTCCTTGGCCCGCCCAGCCATTTAAACATACGGAATCCAATTCATTTAAACATACTGCAACTACATTTTAAATATACGAACTGGTATTTCATACTACCTCCGGGGCCTCGCGGTCTGGCCCGCCCTCCACATATTTAAATGGCGTTACCGTATGTTTGATTAATATGTCTGCCCTCATAGGGTGAAATGTTATCAACATCCAAACTTCACTTTTTTCAAGCTGTCTACCCTCTGGTAAACTAACATAACTATGGGAAATCACCATTTTTAATGGGTAAATCAACTATAAATGGGCCATTTTCAATAGCTTTTTGTATGTTTACCAGAGGGTATCTTCCGAATTCTTCCTATCCCCTTGGTGTTCAAATCTCATTGCTAGTGCTGAAACCCATGAAAACGCTGTATATCCAATATGCTCCATGGTGCTGGAATATTTGCCAACATTTGCCTTAATTTAAAAATCACCCAAATATAGGCAAATATGCCAGCACCATGGAGCATATGGGATATATAACAACTACAATGTGAGGCCCCCCAGTTATAAGTTGGTTTATAAACCATGAAATCGCCACCATTAAGTATAGTTTTATCTACCATAAACCATAGTTTTTTCGCCACTTATATAGTACCATAAGTATAGTTTTTATCTACCAGTAACTATAGTTATTTGCGTACCATAAACCATTCATATCCTCCGTCGAAAGCGCTCCAGCTGGCCTTTTCGTAGGAATTGATGTCGTGGGCTTGGACTCCTTAGATTCTGCCACGGGGATTCTTGGAGCAAAAATCTCAGATTTCGATTTTTTTCTTATTAAAGGATCAATGGGAATTCCAGGATCCTAAAATGGAGGTACTGTACCATATAAGGCCATATTTTGCTGGGATAGTCCCTTACATAGGCCTTATATAGGCCTTATATATGGTAGGTACCTCCATTTTAGGATCCTGAAATTCCCATTGAAAGGATCGTTAAAAAGGAAGAATCTGAAAGTATGGTGGTTTACTGGTTTTATATCCTCAGGTTTTTTGTTGACAATCTGGAAAAAATGGTGATTTACTGGAAAGTATGGTGTCACTGCTCGAAGCCGTAAATCACACGGTGTTTAGTTGCAAGTTGACCTGCTATTCCTTTCGAAAAAAATAACAGTCTCGACCTAGGGCCCACATGTCACATACACATCTGGCCAACATCCTATTTCCAAGCTGGAACAACGCCAATTTATATACCAGTATATACCATTATATAATCCCATTATGTAATTCCATTAGCTATATTGATATTCCTACTGGATCCATAATGGATATATACTGGTTGGTGGTATACCTACCCCTCTGAAAAATATGAGTTCGTCAGTTGGGATGATGAAATTCCCAACTGAATGGAAAGTCATAATCCATTCATGTTCCAAACCAGTATATTATATATATACACGGGTTATACGTTCTCCATTTACGATGCCTAGGATGAACCCCGAGGGCAACTAAGTCATTGGGATTCTCTAGGCTCATGATACCTATACCTACCCCTCTGAAAAATATTGAAAAATATGAGTGAAAGTCAGTTGGGATGATGAAATTCCCAACTGAATGGAAAGTCATAATCCATTCATGTTCCAAACCACCAACCACACAACTTTTAGGAATTTCCACCGAGTGACCCCTCCGGCGACCCACTCTGCGAGGACCGGCCCCTGCTGTGGTGCCGCGACGCCGACGTCGAGCGCCCGCGCAGCGGGCGCAGGCCCCGCAGCGACGTGGTGGACCCACGGCCGCCGGGCGACTCGGACCGGGCACGGGGCGACACCTGGGGGAACCGGTGGGTGACGCAGCGGGGCCCTTCGTTGACCCATGGAAAAATGGTGGAAAAACCCTGAAAAATGATGAAAATTAGCTGTTTTATGCTATTTTCAATGGGAAGATCATGGTGAAGTGATTGAGTTAACGTTGTTTTACGGGATCTAACAGGGAGATAGTGGGAATATAATGAACATATAATAGGATATCTAGTGGGAATATCAAATCCCTGATATCAAATATCCCCTAACAGCAGAAACTCGTCTTTAATATCTTTTAATGTTAGATCTATACATATGGGAACCATATGGAGGATATTTATTTGCATGTTTGAGTGTAAAAGGTATGGACGACTAGACCCTACCATGCGTTGGGAGAGGATGTCAACGATGTCAACATCCTAGGGCCCATCGGACCCATCGAGTCTTGTGGATGGGCCAGCGAAATGCGAATCACCAGTTGGAAAACGATGGTACTTGGTGGCTCATCCCACTTAGTAAGTGGGTTATACCCCCAGTTATAAGTGGATTAACACTACTTATCCCATTTATAACTGGGGTTATAACCCACTTACTAAGTGGGATGAGCCACCAAGTAAACATCCCACTATGATGGCTTTCAACCATCCTTTTGGTGGTGCAGGATTTCGCTGGCCCATCCACAGTAGGACAAAACTAGCTGAAACTGCCAAAATCCCAGTGACCGATGATATTGATTTACAGTTTCAATCCGATTGATTCATGCCAAAAGCCATGCAAATGGCATTGTTGGTAGTGTCATATAGTTGGCCAAGTTGTTTATAACTCCAATTCCTATAGGGTTTATGGTTTTACATCTGTATATAGTCAATGTGGGTTCTAAACCAACAAATAGCTGGGAACCACCACCTTGTCGTTACTGGTATAGCCCCAAGAATGACCATACTGGGCCATGGAATGTCTGAAAAAACATGGATGGCCTTGAACCATTTGAACCTTTGGCTAATCCTGCATAGTGTCTGGTAAAACCGTCACAGTCACCATCCCCAAAATCGGTAAAAAATACTTCTGTTGACAAGATTGATGTATGTTGGTCTACCAAATTATCCTTATTTAAGCAGGAGCTTTCATATTTGCCTCAATCACCTTAATCCAGCAACTGATGACTTGCCCAAGAACCTCAGAACTGATGACTTGCCCCAGCGCTTCTCGAAAACTTTTCAACGGGCGAAGTCAAAGCTCCGCTGACGGAGCGTACAGGGAATTCCTTCTCTGTGTGAGTCTGTATATTTAAAATACATTATTGTATATGGGTCTGAAACTGAACATGGGGTATAGCTTCTAAGTGGCCATTTCATCAGGAAAATGATGACGAAACAATTTTTTTCAGAGGTACCATATTTTCAGACAAACCATGACATTCGTTCTAGACTGATGAATTAGTGCCATTTTTCATGGCATTTTTCTGTATGACGTGAGTTCCCAGTGTTCCAACTCGTGATCCACAGCCGAAAAAATCTGGGTTAAATCGCGACTCGCCAACTCCAAGCCGAACATAGCCGAACACCCGTTCTCCAACCACAGATAACCACAGGTGTTGAGGGTCAACGAAAAAAGATGAGCCATACAGGATGGGGCCCCCAGTCGATAGCGTTCAGTTGCCTGGTTGAATTCTATGGTTTATGGTAGATATAGCGAACTAGTTAATGGTGGTTATTTCATGGTTTGAACTGGCTGCTCCAAATAATAAATTACATCTGTGTGAGTCGGAAGCATGCTCAGGAAAAGGACAGATCCAGGTGGCCATTTCGTACTGGGGATTCTGTTCCCCTCCCAGTTCCAGTTGCAACTGCTCCAGCTTCCTCTAGAAATCGCACTATGTCGAGGTGGCCCCTCACAGTTGCAGCAAAAAGGGGTGTTGCACCATCGTTCTGTGCTTGATCTTTGTCTGCACCATGTTCGACTAGAAATCGCGCTATGTCGAGGTGGCCCTGCACAGCTGCAGCAAACAAGGGTGTTTTACCATCGTTCTCTGCTTGATCTTTGGCTGCACGATGTTCGACTAGAAATCGCGCTATGTCGAGGTGGCCCCTCACAGCTGCAGCAAACAAGGGTGTTGCACCATCGTTCTGTGCTTGATCTTTGTCTGCACCATGTTCGACTAGAAATCGCGCTATGTCGAGGTGGCCCATCACAACTGCAGCAAACAAGGGTGTTGCACCATCTTTCTGTGCTTGATCTTTGTCTGCACCATGTTCGACTAGAAATCGCACTATGTCGAGGTGGCCCGTCGCAGCTGCAATCCACAAGGGTGTTCTACCAATGGTATCTGCTTGATCTTTGTCTGCACCATGTTCGACTAGAAATCGCGCTATGTCGAGGTGGCCCCCTTCAGCTGCAGCAAACAAGGGTGTTGTACCATCTTCCTGTGCTTGATCTTTTGCTGCACCATGTTCGACTAGAAAATGCACTATGTCGAGGTGGCCCGTCACAGCTGCAGCAAACAAGGGTGTTGCACCATCTTTCGCTGCTTGATCTTTGTCTGCACCATGTTCGACTAGAAATCGCACTATGTCGAGGTGGCCCCTCACAACTGCAGCAAACAAGGGTATTGCACCATCTTTCTGTGCTTGATCTTTGTCTGCACCATGTTCGACTAGAAATCGCACTATGTCGAGGTGGCCCCTCGCAGCTGCAGCAAACAAGGGTGTTCTACCATTGATATCTGCTTGATCTTTGTCTGCACCATGTTCGACTAGAAATCGTGCTATGTCGAGGTGGCCCCCTTCAGCTGCAGCAAACAAGGGTGTTGCACCATCTTTCTGTGCTTGATCTTTGTCTGCACCATGTTCGACTAGAAACTGCACGATGTTGAGATGACCATTTCGAGTTGCAAGCCACAATGGTGTGTATCCTTCGGCAGACTCAGACACATCTGTGTTTGCTCCTGCCTCGAGTAACAGTTCCACAACTTGAACATGTCCCTGCTCTGCAGCGTGAAACAAGGGCGTCTTGCCATCTTCGTTTGCATCATTGGGGTTTCGTGGTTGTTGCAGCAACTGTTCAAGAGCAACTACATCATTGTCTCTAGATGCCAGAATCATTTTTTGTGTTTCTTCATCATCAGTTGGCCAGAATTCCAAGACCACCAGCTGGATCTTCAGTGGGGCCGGATCTAGAACTTCATCATCCTGGATCTCCGAACCATCTTCCACAAAGAATCTTTGCTTAAATCTGGAAATGCCAACCTTGGCTGCCAAGGCTTTCTTCACTGCCTTCGCTGTTTTGCCTTGCAATTCATCTTCAAGGACTGTGAGCGTCTCGCCCGACGTTAGGAAACACACCTCCATCGCTGCAAGTTCCTAGGTGGTGAGAAATGTATGTGTCTCTAAATGTGTGAGTGTGTGTGTAATATATAGAGAAAAAAAACATAGCGTAGAGGATATTAGTATATACAATACATCATCGCATATGTAATCTATAATATTCTATAATGAATATATATATATAATGCATACATACAGGATAAAGCACGATGCGTCTTCGACATTTCCAGTCTGGACAGTCTTCAACTGCAGCGGCGTTCATTCCACAAGCAGAACACTGCTCAGTTGCGTAAGCGAAACCAGCTGACCCATTTCCATGAAAAAAATCCCGCATTCCATTCATGTCCATTCTATTCCATTAATATCCTATTTTATAATCCTCAGATCCTGTTATTCTCACCCCGTGGTCCGTTTATACTAGCTGGTTGATAGGGATTCCCCGTTCATGGATGGTGATACCCCAACAAAAAATGATTAGTATCTGGTTGGTGGCTGAGCCACCCCTCTGAAAAATATGAGTTCGTCAGTTGGGGTTTCTATTCCCAACTGGCTGAATGGAAAAAAAAATAAAAATGTTCCAAACCACCAACCAGGTATCATTCACCAACTCATCATCAACCAACCGTCACGCGTAAAATTTTCTCTCCATTTTGGATGCTGAAAAATTCACCAAACTTTTATTGGATGGTGAAGTTCCGGAACGATCAGTTATCGCTCTATTGGTCATTCTGTTCATTTTACTCTCTGGTAAACATACAAAAAGCTATTGAAAATGGCCATTTATAGTGGATTTACCCATGAAAAATGGTGATTTTCCATAGTTATGTTAGTTTACCAGAGGGTAATCCCATAAAATCCTATCCATCAATGTCCATGGCTGTCAGCCATGGATAAGTTCCGGTCACAAACCCTCCTTTTTTGGGGTCAAATCCCCATCTGTCCCATCCTATATATTGATATCTGGTTGGTGGTTTCAACCCCTCTGAAAAATATTAGTCAATGGGAAGGATTATCCCATATATTATGGGAAATAAAATATGTTTGAAACCACCAACCAGATATATATATATATATGGGATAAATCCCATCATTTTGATGGTGAAAAAACCACATTAGCCAACCAGAGGCTTAGCTAGAATCTGTTATAGCCACTCATATCAGCATCTTGTTGATGGCTAACATATACATATGTTAAACCATCCCAATTAAACAATCATCACCCAACAAGGGGTTTTGAACACACAAATCCCCTATTGTAGCTAGTAAATCCCTAAATCCATCAAATCCCCGTATTCTGACCCATTATAACTACATTACCATCTGGTTATGACTAACATAGCCATGGGAAATCACCATTTTTAAGAACGGTAAACCATCTATAAATGGGCCATTTCCCATGGCTACGTTAAATAACCAGGGGGTATATATATATATATATGTAACAAATCGAGATGAAGTTCCACTATCATCTGCAACACAAAAACCCACTGTTTTCACACAATTCTCCCATATCAATCTATGGGTTTCACCCCACCTGAAATGGAGACTATTACTATTCCATTACTATTCCATTCATTAAACTCCACTCCATTCATATTCCCATCAGTAATAATAATGGAATAGTAATGGAATAGTAATGGATCAATCCACTATTTATTACTATCAATGTCCATCTGGTTGGTGGTTGAGCCCTAGCCCTCTGAAAAATGATGGACTTCATCCATTGGGCGAAATTTGGACAAAAATCATCCAAATCTGCAAAAAAACACCACTCTAATGTCAACCCTGGATTAATAAACCCCTAGGCTGTTTAATTGGGAGGGTACCATTTAAGTATCAAATATTGACTATTGGGGGAATACCCGCCTAATTAATAAACCATGGTTTATTAATCCGGGGTTGACATTAACCAACAGGCGCCCTCCATGGGTTTCGCCCCACCTCCACACCGAAGGTGATGCTGGTGATGAACTCTGGGACCCCAGGAATCGCTCGTGTTTCTCGAGGCTCGCGCGCCGTCATCTGCGCCTGGCCAAAAAAAGGTCCCCAAAAAATCCCTGGTGTCGGACAAAATGGGGATGAAAATAGGAGATTTATATGGGGATTTAAGGGAAATTGTATGGGAGTTGAGGTGGTTTATAAGATTTCAGGAAGTTTAAGGAAAATGATGGGGATTATATGAAGTTTGAGGGGGGATTCTAATGGGATTTAAGGGTATTTCCATCGGAATCGAAACGGATTTGAAGTTAGTAAGTGGGGTGTTTTCCAGAACAGTTGTAAAGCAAGTAGGATTAGTCCAGTTCTAGTTTGTGTTTGAAGTTATAGCCAACCTTTTAGGAGGAACCACCAAGTATTGATTCTTGCCTGTTGTGGGTATTTCATGTTAGGGCGAAGCATTTCCTAACCTTAGCTATTTCGATGTGCCAGGAATCCTAAGTTTTATAAATGGGTACCTTCCATCTTGGCTCACCCAGTTAGACAGAATATCCCCACTTAAGTTGTTATACATAATGGGCTACATATGGGTTTGTAACAACTTCTTTTTTTTAATGCACTCCCAAGTGCCCAGAACAAGATGTGTTTTTAGATTAGAGTCAACCAGATGTTTTTTAATGTTTCCATTTAGATCTGTTTACAGTATATCTGTCAATCTTGAGATTAAGTGGTAGACCGGACTGCTAAATGTCTGGTAAACCCAATTTTGGCATAACCCTCCAACACATGTAGACGGATGTAAACATCACTTGCAGTGACATCGCGGTGAGGTCGTGCTAATTTATCCATATATTTGTTGGTTTTATGCCAACGTTTGTTGTTTAAGTCGTCCTTTTTTGTCATCATCACGGGTTCATTCTTACTCTTAGATACCCTGCAAAACATCAAACAAATCAGCTGATTAGCTTACATACCGTCATGAAAGTAGCAAAATGAGCAAAGGATCAAAGTACTGAAGTACCCCATCTAAGGTTTCCCCACATGTTCCCCATATATTGTAATGATTAGATATTGAATAACACTAACTCTCAAATTCAGTTGATTAAACCTCAGGTTTAATCCTAGAAAGTCCAGTTCTTGATTGATAAATCACCATTCTATCTCCATTCAATACCCTCAAATGCTACAAATCACCATGATACCCCGATGATATCTCACGTTTAAAACATAATCATTGCATTGTCACCATGATTTCCATTCTATTCCCATTAAACATGCTTTGTTTTGCCATCTGGTAATTTAACATAGCTATTTGAAAATGACCATTAAAAATGTGAATTGTCCCATTCTATAAACATGCTGGATCTCTCCATAGTTATGGAAACGTTTACCAGAGGGTTTTTGCGGTTTTACAGCCACGCATCAAAAAATCAAGGACCATCACTGGTCGACTCCCCATTCATCCAGAAAAAAAAACACTCATATTCCAAGGATCTTCGATCATTGTCCAATAATTATGGAAAATCACCATTTCTAATGGGTAAATCAACTATAAATGGTAAATATGCCATAGCAGCCAATAATGTCCTTTTATCTTTTGGTAAAAATAGGTTTGGGCCGGGAGCTGGTTAATCCCATCTATCATCATTTGAACATTTACCTGTTGTTATAGGGGTTTCTTCAAACCCCTCTATTAATCAACCAAACAATGGGAAAAGGACATCTATGATAGCACCATTGTTGTCAATTGTTCATCTGGCTGGTGGTTGAGCCTACCCCTCTGAAAAATGATGGAGTTTTTCAGTTGGGATGATGAGGTTCCCAACTGAATGGAAAAATAATCCAAATGTTTCAAACCACCAACCAGTCATGGTTGAATGGTTTGTGACATGGGTTTCCCTGTGGGCGCTTCCATTATATTATATTATATTATATTATATTATATCCCATAAACTAGTCTATACACCCGGATAAATCAGGTTAATATTCCAATTTTTTGATGGTTAAAATGGTTGGTTTCTATCCCATTATATCATAACATCCAATAAGAAATTCCCATGACACCTGCGTTGGATATATCAATCCCCATTTACTGCTTGATACATCAACAATTCTATTCCATTGAGTTCAGTAATTCAGCCATTTTCTCCCATTAGATCCCCATTAAACCAGCGATTACCCTCCAGTCATCAAACACAGCAATGGAAAATGCACCAGTTACCATATGGTTATTTAACAGTTAGCCATGGAAAATCACCATGCTATTAAGAACGGTAAACCATCTATTTCTCTGGGCCATCTATACCATAGCTATGTAACAAATAACCAGAGGCTAACAGTTTGCTATGGAAAAGTATCATCCCCATAAAATATACCTTTAATATCCCTTAATTATATGGTACGTTTACGTACCTCCATTTTAGGATCCTGGAATTCCCATTGAATCTGGTAATTTAACATTAAACCATGATAACTATTATGGGGATAATGGGTATATATAGCCTCTTAGTTACCTATTATGGGGATATTGTTCATCTATTAGTTCCCAAAACCCATGAAAAAAAGCCATGAAATCCCTGGTCACGTAAAGGCCTTTAACCCCCCGAAAAGTGGAGAAGTCCCTTAAATGAAAGCCCAGAAAATATCATGATGGCTTCGTCTATATGGCTAGTACCCTCTGGTTATGTCAAAATAGCTATTGAAAATGGTCATAGAAATAGTGAATTTTCCCATTAAACATGAAAACGGAGTTTATTCCCGGCCAATAATGTCCTTTTGGTAAAAATAGGTTTGGGCCGGGAGCTGGTTAATCCCATCTATCATCAAACAAACCTGTTGTTAAAGGGGTAAACCTTCAAACCCCTCTTTTTTCATCAACCAACCAATGGGAAAAGGACATCTATGATTAGCTTCGTCTATATGGCTAGTAAATCCCTTGCGGTATATCTCAATAAATGAATATCCCATCATATTCCCAAAACATCCCATCACATCACCATGCTTAATCATTTGTCTTGATGAAATTCATGTTCTTTGATGATTAAATCCTCATTTCCGCAACATATACCCTCCAGTAAATTAACATAGACCCTGCCAGATAGGGGTTGGAAGACTAGTTTCCATTAAAAATTGGTGATCTTCAGGGTCTGTAAATCCTCATTTCTGTAACATATAAATGGCATATCAATATATCAGTTGACTTTATTGGCTATATCTCCAATCAAAAACCATGGATCGTCCCATATTGTTGCTGGATTTTTATCCCCAGAAAGTCCCAACAAAGACAGCAATTCAGCCATTACAAGCCGTTCTCACACCAGGCTCAATCCCGTGTACAATTTCATTATAATCCAGTATATCTCCATTCTATCTCCATTATTTTCTTGTGTATGTATGTATGTATGTATGTATCTATCTATCTATCTATCTATCTATCTATCTATCTATCTATGTATCTATGTATCTATGTATCTATGTATCTATGTATCTATGTATCTATGTATCTATGTATCTATGTATCTATGTATCTATGTATCTTTGTATCTATGTATCTATGTATCTATGTATCTATGTATCTATGTATCTATGTATCTATGTATCTATGTATCTATGTATCTATGTATCTATGTATGTATGCATGGATGTATGTATGTATGTATGTACATCGTGGGGTTCCTGAAATGAAATGGTGCCACCCCAATAGCTGGATGGTTTATTTCATAGAAAATCATCGACTCAAATAGATGGTTTGGGGTACCCCTAGTTTAGGAAACCCCAATACAAAAATTATACATATATATATATATATTTATATTTAAATTATATTATATATACATATATATCCCAAAAATAGATGCTCTTCCCACATCTAAAAGGCTTAATTACGCCATCCCCTTGATCTCCACGGCTCGGCGCCTCCGGCAGCTTCCAGCTTCGTCCTCCGCGGCCGGGCGTCCAGCTGCGCTTCGCCGCTTTGGACGGCATGGGACCCGTCTTGGAGAGCAGGTCCTGGATCCGGGGCCCGTGGTTTTTTTCGGGTCGTTTATGTGTAGAATCACCATTTTTAATGGGTAAATCAACTATTACTGGTTGGTGGTATACCATGGTATACCTACCCCTCTGAAAAATGTGAAAATACTGGTTGGTGACGGTTGGTGACGGTTGGTGACGGTTGGTGACGGTTGGTGACGGTTGGTGACGGTTGGTGACGGTTGGTGACGGTTGGTGACGGTTGGTGACGGTTGGTGACGGTTGGTGACGGCTGGTGGTTTCAGTCAGTTGGGATGATGAAATTCCCAATATATGGAAAAATAAAAAATGGTCCAAACCACCAACCAGAAGAAGTATATTGTGGTAAACCCAGTAATAAACCTTGACTGGGAGACGGCTTGGGGATGGTCTCTTAGTGGCTTTGCCACGTCAAAAATCACCATGAAGCAACACCAATGCGCCACTAAAAATAGCCTCATAACGGTGATATAACGTGTTGATATAACGGTGAAAACTCATGAAATACTGGTTGAAAACTAGTTGAAAACGCTTTCCCAATCCCAATCGGCTTTGTGATGGTTTTTGAGTCATCCCCCGTCATAACCAGGTAGTACAATCCCGTCATAACCAATGAACTGTGCTATTTCGAGGTTTCGATATTCATGTTTCGAAAATCATGGTGCTACCCCAATAACTGAATATTTCATTAAAAAATCCTGCTGAAATTTGGATGACTGGGGGTGCCCCTATGACTTAGGAAACCTCCATTTCAATCAACATAGCTGTGGATGGGCCAGCGAAATCCGAGAAACCACCATTCTTGGCTGGTTGAAACCCCAACAAAATCATGGAATGTTTGCCACCTATCCACCAAAAGGCTGGTTGAAACCCTACAAATAATATTAAATAGTGGAATAAACCACCTATCAACTGGTGTTTCGCTGGCCTATCCACCGTAGCTTTAACCCCATCTCCCTGCTATGTCACCTCATTGGACTGGTTCGGCAACAGGGGCAACTTCAAGGCTGAGCGAACGGATGGCAGCCACAAAGAGTGGCAAAAAAGCCAGGGAGGAAGGGAACATTGCCATTGGGTCAATGACCATTTCAGGAGGCCTATTTTTTAGGCCTATTTTTTAGGGAATATACCCCCAAAATATGGCCAAACATATGGTACTAACGTACGTCCATTTAGGATCCTGGAGATCTCCCAAAAAAATTGGGGGAATCTCAATGGATTGGTTGAAGATTGGGAAAACATGGGAAAACCTCAACCGGAAACCATCGATTTTCCCATTAAGATCATGGGGACCAATCCATTGGGGACTTCGAATGACGATGATTTGGGGCTCGCCCGCAATGGATTGGAAACCTCCATTTGAGATATGGTACCAGATAGCGAATTAAATTGACCAACAAATACCAAGAAAATGTGCTATATAACAATCACTATATCTGGTTGGTGGTTTCAACCTACCCCTCTGAAAAATATGAAAGTCAGTTAGGATTATGATTGCCAATATATGGAAAGTCATAAAAGCCATGATCCAAAGCACCAACCAGATATGGTTGGGATTTTGTCCGCCAAATTTTAGAGATCACCAACCAGCATCCCCTGGTGATTCGGATTTACCACTTGGGATCACCAAGGCATAGTCCAGATGAACATCCCATGAAAATCTCTGGCTTTTCACGCCGTACTAAGCGCACCAAATATATGTTGTAGAAATTCGTCCTGGCCGATCATCCAAAGTCAGAAAAAAAACCCTCAACATCAAGCAACACCATGGAAAATCCCCATGAATTTCCCATTCAGTCACCATTCAGTCACCATTCAGTCACCATTAAAATCCATTTAAATCCCATTAAGACACCATTAATATCATGGATTGCCAAGAATCCACATCCACTTCGATGATTTTCCCATGACGAGCCGAGCTCGGGGATTTTGAATCCAGCCATGTTTAAGATTATACCGAAGGCTTCATTTTTAACGGCGATGCACCTGAGGGACTAAGGATAGGGCTATTGATGATGCGTACAACCCCGTGAAAATTGGAGCTTATGACATTGACTTTCGTAACCTGAATGGTGAGCCATCCCGAAAAATGACGATTCAATCAAATCAAATCCCGATTTTGGCTGGTTCAGTGACCCATTGCCGACTTTTTTGGCTGCTTCAGTCGCTCAGCAGTCACCAATTTCGAACCGCACGAATCATGATGCAAAAATGTTCATCCTTGAAAAGTTAGTTAGCAAAACTATGACAAACGTGGCGTTTTTTTCACAAATTTCGTAAGCCACGCAAAATTATGTGTTTTTTCAGAAATCCTGGGATATCATCTAACTGGAATCACCCCACCTAACTGGTATTCCCATCATATCCCATGGATATCTCCAGAAACGCATTCACGGAGATCCCACGACATCCAAGCAACCCGGAAGGCGCGGATAGACGCCGCCCATGCGCGGATAGACGTCACGCAGCTCCGTCTTGGATCTGGCCGGTTGGTTCTGGAAGCACGGGATGGTTGGCTCAATATTTGTTCAGATAGTCATAGAATAATCATGAGTAGTTAATAGTATAGTTATCTATAGTCAATACTTACTTAATAGTTAATAGCTAATAGTTACACTAGTTGATACAACAATGTAGTAGTTAATAGGCAAATCCCCATCGGCCTGTGAATGAGACAATTCCTTCTGGTAATTTGTTACAGTTTGCTATTGAAAATGGCCCATGAAAATAGTTGAATTACCTATGAAAGATGGTGATTTTCCAGTTCGCTATGTTAGCTTACCAAAGGGTAATCATAGCAGAAAAGCAGTAACTACAATTGAGCCCAATCATACATATTGGTACGATGTTGCCTATGTAACAACAATGGCTACATTTATTTGATAATCATAGCATAAAGTAGAAACATGTAGAAACGATGATATGATAAGAGTATCAGTGCTCCACATGTACTATCCAGATCATGATATTCATATCATAGTAGTAGATATGGATGATTATTTTCATTATGAATAAAAAATCTTATGTGTGTTTATCATTTTTTATTTTTTAATATTGGGAATTGAACTTAAGAATAAATATGGCTATGGGTCAGCTACTGATGCTCCGAAAAAAATACACCAACCCCCGTTTCGGAAAGCACTTTCCCATTGGGAAAAGGATGATTTTTTTCGGTAGATTCAGTGGCTGGAATGGGGTAGCCTATTTGGTAGCCTATTTTCAGATTTAAGCGCTAAAAATAATATGGTTGAGCTATAACCCATAGGCTCCATGGTGCTGGTATATTTACCTACAAAACTGGGTGAATTTGTTCGGGCAAATGTAGGTAAATATACCAGCACCATGGAGCATATGGGTATAATATATCAGAAGAATCTGTCAAAATGTGGTTGAGCTCTAAGTTTCTCAAGGTCAATCATCATCTGGATTGCCTTCGAAAGTCTTGTATCATCTTGTATCCCTGTAGCCTTGTATGTTCACAAGGGAGCGTGTGGGCTAGGCAAAAGATATTACCTTCCCGGCCCAAGGGCTGCCCAAACACCCTTCTATTGGCACCACCCCGGCAAAACTGACTTGCGTAGGCCACCAAAGGCTAACGCCTGACACAAGTTTATCAAACCTTACCAAGTGGCACATAGAGAATGGAGCTGATATAACAGCTCAGGAAAAACACACACAAATACACCCTACAAAACCTGAGGAATACTGTAGATCATACACCCTACAAAATACCATTTGTATATTACCCTGAGGATATACCCTGAGGATATACACCCGACAAAATCTACAAATCGCGCTTGGCACGACCTTGGCATCTGAACGTCTGAATGCCTCGCCGGAAACTGGGTTGAACCTGACCTATAGCATGCCTCAGAGGTGTCGCTAACAATTTGGAGCTGGAAAATGCTAAAGGCCCAGGGGAACCCAAGAAGCTGAAGGAATCCAAACAAAAACTACAAAATGCTAGAAATATCCAATCCTATTCTGCGTGATATTTGGTTATGTTTTTTTTTGGAGATCTCACCACTGGCACTCCATACAATCAATTCAAAATCTACAGAAGAAACAGGGAATGCCGAAGGAAAATTAGAATTCAGAGAACATATCAAAGCTACAAAAACTTGAAAACCAAAGAAAATTCAGAAAAACTGAAAGAAGCTAGAAAAAAAACACAAAAAGCTGAAAAATGCTAACAAAAGTTTTAAAAATACCAAAAAAAAAAACTAGAAAAAACAAAAAAAATGCTAGAGAAAGCTAAAACAAAATCCCACTCTTGGGCCGCCGAAGGGCACTCCCTCCAAGAGCTTTTCCTTAACATGCTTGAGTGTTCTTGTCTAGCTTGTTTAGCTTTCTTTAGTTTTTTTTCTTAGCTCCCAGCACCCTCGTCCAGTGAGTTGAAGAGGCAGGTCTCGAAAAGACATGTGACGTGTAAGTAAGAAACTTGGCTGCAAGGTGAGCACCCCGGCAGTCACCAGCCCAGCCCAGCCGCAGCTTCTGATTGGGTGAACTACGACAAGTCACCAACCTGAAGAGCGTTTTTGTTGGAGGCTACTTGGAGGATCATCCCACTTATTAACTGCTTCGTGTTTGTGGGGCTATAACTATAACATACTATAGCCTAGTTCTTTTTGTGGGACAATCCAGGGATGTCACAGTTATAGTTCCACGAAAATAGCCCCATGAGATCGTTATCCTTACTGGTTGGTGGTTGAGCCACCCCTCTGAAAAATATGAAAGTCAGTTGGGGTTACTATTTCCAATATATGAAAAAATAAAAAAAAATGTTCCAAACCACCAACCAGCAACCATCATCTCACCAATTTCCGGATTTTCCCACGAAATCTCCCGATGATTTCCCCCCACGGAGGCCCCAAAAAGGAAGAACCACAGAAGAAACGGCAGCGGCTCGCCTCAAGCGGTGCGTGGGCATGATGGCTGGAAGCTCACGGGCTCCATCGGCTCCGTGGGCTCCATGGGCTCCATGGGCTCCATCCTTCCTGGGAGCGGTCGAATCCCGGTCGAGGTCTCAACGGTCCCAACATTTTATGGGAAAATATAGGAAAATATGGGATAATGATGGTTAATGTTGGTTAATATACTGTTAATATATTATATGGTTAATATTAATGGTTATTATATGGTTAATGATCTTGAATAATATGGTTTATCGATAATTACTGGTTGGTGGTTGAGCCCTACCCCTCTGAAAAATGATGGAGTTCGTCAATGGGTTTCGGATGAAAACCCATTATATGAAATGGAAAATAAAATTCATGTTCCAAACCACCAACCAGGATTGATACAGTATATCCTCAAAATGCTGTGTAAACTAGCCATTCACCAACAATTTATTACGGAGATATTCTGGCTGAATAGAAAAGGAATTCACTCATCCGAAAAGAGATGAACATTTCGGCCAAAACAGGGGATGATTCCGTATACTCATCATTATTCCAGTGACGACTCGATGAGGTCATGATTTTTCTCATCCAGATATAGCATAGCAAACCCCCAAGGAAATTATGCCGAAAAGATGCCGAGAAGTGGAAAACACCGAAACATTACAGGATGGGGCCCCCAAGATAGCTAAGTTGCCTTATAAGTGGCTTAACTATGGTTTATGGTAGATATAACTATAGTTATATCATGGTGGTTATTTCATGGTTTATAAACCAACGTTCACATAACTGGGGGGCCCCATCCTGTTGGTGGCTCATCCCACTGAGTAAGTGGAGCAAGTGGATTAGTTCACCCTCGTCAAAAAGGTGGCTATTCACCCTACACAAATTCAATGGGAATTCCAGGATCCTAAAATGGAGGTACGTAAACGTACCATATGTTTGGCCATATTTTCTGGGGATATTCCCTAAAAAATAGGCCTGAAAAATAGGCCAAAAATATATGGAATCGGTACCTCCAATCAATCGGATCCTGGAATGGCCATTGATAAATCCCCCTGAAATAGGGCTGAACTAATCCACCACTTACGATCCGTGGGAGCCAAGTTTTTGTCAACCACCTGGTGGCGCACTCTTCGGCATCTTTTTTTTTTGGGGGGTGCTTCCCAACCTGGTAAACATACAAAAAGCGACATAGAAAATGGCCATAGAAATAGTTGATTTACCCAGCTATCAAATGGTGGATCTTTCCATAGTTTTGGGAAAGTTTACCAGAGGGTATATGGGGTAGTGAGTGGTCATTCAGAGTCATTCAACATTGGCTATGCTATACTGGTGGATGAATGGTACCAACAAAAACAGGGGTAACATATGGATTTATAACTCCAAGCATGATGGGATTTTTTATGGAAACAAGGAATAACACAACGATTGGAATTTTTTCACAAAGAATTTGGATGGATAACAAATTGGGAGGCAGCCAACCTTAGTGGGGATTTCAATGGAGATATATATGAAATCTGATGGAGAAATATAACTGTAGCTAAGGGATTTCAGAATGAATTGAACAACAATTTTCAGGACATAAACAAAACCAACAAGACGTGGTTGGACAATAAAATGGGATATATATATATATATATGAGTATACCGAAAAAAGTAAAATTAATGGATTACATGGCTTTTGAAGTTTGTCTTTTTATACCCTTGATTTCTTCTGTTGTTTGGTGGTTTTCAATTTCGAATGGTTTCCAATTCTGGTGAAAAAAACATTCACGTCGCTTCGGAAAAATCCTACCCTCTGGTAAACTAACATAGCTGTGGAAAATCACCATCTTTCATAAATCAACTATAAATGGGTCGTGTTCAATCTATGTAACAAATTACCAGAGGGTACAAGGTGGGGCCCCCCAGTTATAAGTTGGTTTATAAACCCCATTAACTATAGTTATAGGTACCATAAACCATCATTATTGGAGTTATAAACCAACTTAGCTATCTAACGGGGACCCCACTTTGTATATTTCTAAATGATTTCTGATGATCTACCGTAATTAAAAAAATAGGTGATTTGTTCAATCCAAGGAGTCGATGCCTCACCTTTAGTGATACCCTCTGGTAAACTAACATAGCTATGGAAAGATCCACCATTTTTAATGGGAAAACTCACTATAAATGGCCATTTTCAATAGCAAACTGTTGACATAACCAGAGGGTAGTTAAAAAAAACATCAGTTCCACATATTTCTATGGAAAAATCCAAATTCATCCAAATTCCAAATGCTGAAAATTCCCCACAATTATTGATCTTCAAAAATTCTGGAACAACATTCCAAAAGATGCTTCCTAAGGCCTTGAACCGGATACCAAACAGGGATGTGATATGGCTCAACACATTTTAAGATTAACACATCGAGCAAGCAAATCCAATGATACCCAGTGTTTGTTCAGTTTGTGTCTAAATTCCTATCTTTGTTAATGTGGTTGAAGCAATAATAAACTATCCCCTAAATCACCATAAATAGGTGGTATAAACCATTAAAATATGGGTGGTTTATGGCATGTTTTACCCACATTATACCGTAATTTGGCAAAAAATAATCCCCCGCCCGGATCACCTTCACCCTCCCAGTGCCTCAGAGGTCGCATGTTCTTGTCTCAGACAGGTGCCATGGACCGATCGAGCGTTGTTTCTAGAAAAGAATGTTCCAAGGATGGACCATGATTTCTTGTCACTCTTGTTGTTTTTACCGCCATAAACCACCACTTTTGGAGGGTTTGTACCCATTTTCAAATGCCGAAGGCTTTGCATGGTTTGCTACTATTGGGTCTACCATGGTTTACGATACGTGCAAGCCAACTGAATGTGTACCTACAGAAACCACTTTTTTGTCAAAGTTGATGCTGGACTTAGCTTGACCAGTGATGTGGGGCCACCCATTTCTATTGTGTCAAGGCGGGGCCTACGGTTGTTTGTTTACCTGAAACTTGTATTTCTCGCATAATAACTCGGACTGTACACACAGCGTGTTGGGTTTCAGTCTTGTTGAATGTCATATTTTTTTCACATACATCACTTATCATCACTTGATGTAATGTCAACCCTGGATTAATAAACCCCTAGGCTATTTAATTGGGAAGGTACCATTTAAGTATCAAATAATGACTATTGGGGGAATACCCCCCTAATTCATAAACCATGGTTTATTAATCCGGGGTTGACATTACTAGCCTTCTTTCATAATTATGGGTAAATTATAATATTTCACTAACCTGAATAGTTCGGCCATTTGGGGATGATTTCCCTTATTAACCATGATTCCAGATTTTTCTTGTCAGTTTCACCGGCAAAACAGCATGAAACCTATCTGATTCGGTCGCAGCGTGGCAAACGTGGCCCGGCAAAGCGTTGCGTGACGTTGTGTGACGGACGGATTTTGCGTGACGGCATGGTCTACCCTGAGTCCATGGGATTAACTGGTTTGACTAAACCCCAAAGAAAGAAACACTGGTTGGGGTATACCTACCCCTCTGAAAAATGATGGAGTCAGTTGGGATGATGAAATTCCCAACTGAATGGAAAAATAAAAAATGTTCCAAACCACCAATCAGAACAAACAAAAAAAGTAAAATCTACTTTCTTGTTGACGGTGCTATAGGTATTTTTTGCCAGAAACCACGGGTGTTTTGTGAAAAAATCCATGAAAATTCCATGAAACTCAGATGGTTTATCTCAATTTGCCCCATGAAAATTGTCATTTTGGGGATCTTCAACCGTCTCGAAGAACCAGCAACAACCACCAGTGTGGGGTGATGCTTGAATCGCCATAACAGGAACCCATCTGAGCCATTCAAAATAGCTTGCTTTCCCATCTTTCCCATCCATCGAATCCCGGTGGGGGATACCAGATCCAGATTTTTTCGCACCCACAAAGGATGGAACGATGGAACAGTCCTACTTAAATCGTGATTAGTCGTGGTTAGTCACTTCTTTTTTCTGGGGGTTGATATATGTTGAATGGCCATGACCAGCGGGCTTAGCACGGCTGACCTTACTTCAGTGCCCTTTCCCTGTTAAGAAATTCATTCTTAGAGATACTGAATTTTGCATTTTGCGAATATCATTTGAAATAGATCCATAAAACTAAACAGGGAACAGCTCACCTTTCTTCTATCAATGACTCAAACTCAGTGAGCTAAATCATATACAAGACGACTACCAAGAAGTGGTTCGAAATTGGGGTTTATTGTCATAGGTGGGATGCACCACAGCCATTTAGGGATTCCCTTTCGTAAATTAAGATAACTATGGAAAATCACCACTTTAATAGGTAAGTCAACTATAAATGGACCATTTTCTATAGATTCTATAGCTGTGTTAGTTTGCAAGATAATTCATATAATTCATTCCCCAATCAATTATAACTGGTTGGTGGTTTCAACCTCTCTGAAAAATATTAATCAGTTGGGATGATTATTCCCAATATATGGAAAAATAACATTCATGTTCCAAACCACCAATCAATTATAATCGATATTTCATGATATTTCGCCATTTTCCTGGATAAACTACAAGAATTCAGCTTTTTTTCTGGAGACTTCCCCTTCCACTTACCATCATAAAGTATTCGGCCGTCGTATTCCCGGGTGGTAAGATTCACCAGTGGGAACATCAACAGAAAAAATCTCCGGAAAAGCAACTCCAGGTCCTTGCTTGCTGGCTAATCCCCACTCAAATCCCAATGCGAAACCCATGAAACCAGCGTGTTTCCCAACATTTGGTGGTGAAAATTCCTCATCTTGGTGAAATGTTGAGGCATTTGTTGCTTCTCCAGGCCTTTCCCAGCCCAGTTCCCCCAAAAAATCTCCACTCTCCCGCCTAGGCCTCACGGCACAAGACCTGGGGCACTATGTCTACGTCATTTTTGGGGATATCACTGGCAATAGATGGGTTTGTCTGAAAATAGTGTATATTCCCAATGAAATAGCCATTTAAAAACGGGATAATGATCAGCAAAACCATTGGGTAAAAAGGGGTACACGACATTTTCAGACACACCCAGATGATGGGATGCAGGGGATATAGCAGAATATTTAGTAGGATTATTTCACTACTGGTTGGTGGTATACCTACCTACCCCTCTGAGAAAATGATGGAGTGAACGTCAGTTGGGAAGATGAAATTCCATGAAAATCCCAATATATGAAAAACAAAATGTTCCAAACCACCAACCAGACTATAGAACCAGCAAGATGGACTACATGGGTGTTTCTGAAAACACGGTATGCCGATAAAATGGCAATTGCATATGGAAAAAATGATACACCACGGGATAGAATGAAGTGCCTCATTTTCAGGCGAACCCATACTGTATGTAATGACAACCGAAGCATGTTCAAAATGTTTCGTGCAAACAATACTCAACCATTATGGGGACTACAGCCTTCCTTCCAAGTTGTAACTCTTTGGAAGTAAAACATATATAGCTATGTTAGTGGCCTTTGTATATTCTTTGCATAGGCTCTTTCTTATTCTGTCCAGTAGCTTGTGCTTTACATAAAATGATGTTAGCTATGTGAGCTGGGACCAAAAAAGAAAGCCACACAGTTCTTTGACGAAAAGAGGAGACAGGAGATGAAAGACTCCAAGGACTCTTGAATCGTCTGGGATCGAGACTTTGTCTGAAAAGAGTGTAGTCCCAGTGTACCCCTATAAATCCACTGGATTATCATCATTGTCCCTGTGAAATATGGCGTTTTTATTGGGTATAACGTGGTATATACGGTATATCCAGAGAAATTCTCAGAAAAACAGCTTCTTCTGGCTGGTTTTTTATCTTCCCCATGGATCAAGATAGCGGCTAAGAATCTGCTGGTACCATCCAGCCTTCGGCCCATTTTTCCCCACCGGGTGTCCCCAACCAGATCCAGTCTTCACGCTCTCCTAGATCTCCCAAATAAATGCCATCTCGACTCCAAAGCTGCACCTGTCATTACATAGAAAATTTACCCAAGAAGCTGTTTCTTTCATAGTTTTTTTTCATGGGAGTTTCTGGATTTTCTATTTCTGAACTTCTGGATTTCTGATGATTTACGCCATGGGATCCATGATGATGGAGCCCTCATGAGGGATTTTTACATCATGGCTGTGCTAAGCAGCTAAGCCCTACTGGGAGGATGACCATACCCCAATATCTACGTGGTGCCCCAGTGAAATGTTTCTTGGTTTATACCCTCTGGTAAACTGTCCCATAGCTATGGAAAGATCCACCATTTTATAGCTGGGTAAATCAACTATTTCAAAAAGGCCATTTTCAAGTTCGCAAACTGTAACAAATTACCAGAGGGTAGCCCCCATGAAAAGTAGTTCGGTATATCTACCAACCCAAGTGAAATTGGAGTTTTGTTAAACGCACCAAAGTGATGAATCGCTCACTGAGGCACCCCAAGATCCCACGATTCTAAGGACTTGCCACCCAAAAAATGTTCATGGAGATTTGGGCATACCCCATTCCTATCGTCGTTAGATGTTATAATTCAGCCAGAGTTTATCTGGTTGGTGGTTGAGCCCTACCCCTCTGAAAAATGATGGAGTTCGTCAATGGGAAGGATATGGAAGGATTACATCCCATGTATGAAATGGAACATAAAAAATGTTTGAGACCACTTTATGGTTCGAAGGTTTGCGTCCGAGTTTATGGTTCGTATGAGAATGTCGATCGATCGAAATTGTACTCAATTCGCTGCTTTTCCCTCATTTTATACCAGGACTTGGCAGTAAAAACACTGGCACCCGGATGGTACCCTAAGTCATAGCTGATTAATGGATGCTTATTCCCCCAGTCATCTGGTAATTTCGTAGATTCCATCCCCATGGGGGGGCGTTCAAGATCCCGCTGTCATTCCACTGGCTGGTTCATAGGGGTTTCCCCATTGGATAAAAAAAAACGCTATATCAATATATAAAATATATAAAGTCTGGCTGGTGGTTTCAAATGGCTTCAACCCCTCTGAAAAAATTTAGTCAGTTGGGATGTTTGTTCCCAATATATGGAAAAATAAAACATGTTCCAAACCACCAACCATTAAAGGGTAGTATTATCCCCCCACTAATCATCAACCAACGGAGGTTTTGAACACTGCTCAATTTGTCTGTTGGAAAGGTTGGTAGCTCACTTACCATTCACCACTTTCCAGGATTGGGGTGATGCAGATCATGACGAAGCCTGGTACCTTGGGAGTCTGCTTGTCTTAAGTCAGCCGTAAAATGAATAAATCACCACTAAAATGGTGAAAAAAGTAACATATAACTGAGATTAACTTAGAATACCTTAGCTGGACAATAGTAGTCATTTATTTTTATTTACTACTTTCTGATTGTTTGCCCTGTTCAACATAACCACTGAAAATCTTAGATGCCCTGTAAAGGAATGTAAAAAAATAGCCCGAGAAGGACCAGAATGGTCTACATTGGAATGTTCATCAAGTCATTCATCACCCCTGGGATCCTCTTCAGAGGGAACCTTATTGGAACAGGCTGCCAGGCTGTTAAACATTCCAAAAAATTAGGAAAAATTACCAAAAGTTCAGAAACATTCAACAAAGTTGGAAAACATTAGAAAACATTACAAAAACTTCAAAATATGTTTCCCCATTTTGTGGTTTGCCAACACCCCTGCACTCATCACACTATCTTTTCACTTCACCACAAGTCGTTGGTACTTCTTTCTTTCAGGCAGATTCTGAACCACCTCTGCCAAATCTTTCAAAATGTTCTTTGGACTGTGTCCAGGCTTTTGAACCTCATCCTTTAATTTGAACTCCTTCTCTTTTCTGGCTTCCACTTCCTCCAGTCGCAAATGTGTGGACCTCTTCCAGTTTCATTACCCAATTGCTCTCAGTGAACACTCTGGTGAAAGTTGTCTGCTTCCATTCTGGCACACTCTGGAGCCTCTGCTTCCAGCAAGAAATTGACCACAAATCGCCGATCCATGTTGGACAGGGTGAACTTGGTGTGAGGAGCCAATTGATCCAAGAGGTGATGTGGGCTCTCATAAACTTTTGGGGCTGGAGTTCCTCTCATAAACTTGACAAGTGACAATAGCTACTGACTGGCATATCAGGGCATTGGTAAAAACTGCCGAGTCATTGGGATCTTTCATGTGGATGATATTGTATCTGGTTGGTGGTTTCAACTCCTCTGAAAAATGATGGAGTTCGCCAGTTAGGATTATGAAATTCCCAATATGATGGGAAAAATCATCCAAATCTTCCAAACCACCAGTGTATCATCCTGTATCAACTTGTATCATATGTGGCATGACAATCCTTTCCAACTGGGGTCCCTATCATACGTGGGATGAACTTCCGAGGCAACTCTTAAAAATCAACGCGTGGGTGATCCTCAAAATTTGTGAAGAAAAATAGAAGTGTCATCTGTTAATATATGGTTAATATATGGTTATTATATGGTTAATGATCTTGAGTAATATGGTTTATCAATGATTACTGGTTGGTGGTTTCAACCTACCCCTCTGAAAAATGATGGAGTGAAAGTCAGTTGGGATGATGACATTCTCAACTGAATGGAAAAATAAAAGCCATGTTCCAAACCACCAACCAGCATTGTATGTCTGAAAATTGGGAATAGCCTCATTTTTAACCATCAAATCATTGGAAGAATGACTTGAAAAAGCATGAAAAAACAGTGAATTTTCGATGATTTTCAGGTGTTCCCGTGAATCATGTACGGACCACAGGTTTCCAGGATCATTCCATTACACCGGCGACAAGAATCTGTTGAAGATACTCAAATGCACATCAATAGATGAATCGATACAACCTTTCTAGAATGGTTTCCCCGTAGGCACGGTGACATCTAACCACTTGACATCCACTTGACTGGACAAGTTCCCCAGTATAAACACGAGCTAAATGAGGCAATAACTATACGTCTAAAATATCATGTTCAATCTCCAGTCAGACTGCTCCGCAGCACCGAAAAAAAAACTTATGTTGGGGCGACTTTCCCGGCAAGTCTCTCCCCCTTTTGGCGGATTGTTTTTTTCGGATCGATCGGGGCGTGAACAACAGCCATGGATTCATCAATTCACCGAAACGAAAAAAAGTGGTTTGCCCGGTGGTACCAGGTGGGGCCAGGCCCCACTTCTTAGTTAGTTAAGAAAATCCAATCTATAGATATATGATGAATGATCATGATATACAAGGTCATATCCACAACCACCTGGGAAAAAGAAAATCAGTTCGCCTAACCAAACCAACTGACCAGAACTTAGCATTTGCATTTCCCATATACTTCCAAAGTCATGGGGGTACCCCCAGTTATCATCCATGTTATTTTCGGTTTTTCCATGAAATAAACCATCCAGCTATTGGGGTATCCCGGATCCCCATTTTCCCCATTTAAGTGGAAGTCATGATTCAAAATCGTTTCTGGTGTATTTAAGAGCTTTTATCACTGAGTATGGCATGGTATTTCGCTGGTTCTTTTGGGGTATCCCCATGACGGCTGCCTTCTTGCCACTTCCACCCAGCACAAAGTAGTCACCACCTCGGCGAAAAAGACCAATTTGCTGATACCCTCTGGGTATGTCAAAATAGCTATTGAAAATGACCATTTATAGTTGATTTACCTATTATAAATGGTGATTTTCCATAGCTATGTTAGTTTACCAGAGGGTAATCCAATTTCAAGGGTGGAAATTGAATTAATGTACAGTGCCAATCTTAGATACTTACAATCTACAGTAAACCTCCCATAGCTATGAGTATGTAACAATATATTATCAATATGTGTGTATACATTACTGGTTGGTGGTTTCCTCTGAAAAATATTGGTCAAATGGGATGATTGTTCCCATATATTATGGAAAATAAACATGTTTGAAACCACCAACCAGGTTTTTTAATGTAGTTTGATGATCATTAATTGATGATCACCAAAAAGTGAACCATTAATTGATGAAAATTATATTTTGTTTTCAATTTGATCACCAACCAGTGAGAATTTTCATCAATTGATGATCACCAAAAAGAACTTGAAAATTCGCCGGTAGATTCGTCCAATATCCCAGTCCCAAACATTCGTTTGAAAGGGAAAATCCACAAGAAATCATAGATTTTTGAACATGTTTTTCCTTAAACCAATTCATTGAATCAAAGATGTTTAAAACCACCAAACAGAATCGAAATGATTCCCGATAGATTCGCCATTTCCAGGGAAATCCATCCATCTGGGGTCGAGATTTGCTTCGGTTGAAATCGTTCAAGCGGCTAGGCAGCTTGGGAAATCGAACATGTTGGTTAAACAGCAACAAACAAAAAAAAAACGAAATCTCTGACAGGACTCTTACTCATACAGTGTGAAAACCATGGGGATCCCACGGGCTTCAGTTTGCCCCATTTTGCCATTAAAACCATCATCAAATTCATCAACCAACCTTGATCGATCGGATCCCCAGTCATGGAGGTTTCCGTTTCGTCATGGGGGTACCCCTCAATCATCCACTCGAATAGGATTTTTCCTTATAAACCATGAAATACACCTTCCAGCTATTGGGGATCCCCCATGACTTTGGAAACCCCCATAACAATCCGTAACATCATATGTATCAATATGTGTCATTGTTGAAACAACAATATGTGTCATCCATTCAATGACGATGGTTGAAACCACAATAATGGTTTATGAATGACCACATATTTGGAAACCAATAGATACTGTATGTGTTTTCTTTTATTATTTCGGTGATTTATTCATATTACCATCTGGTTATTTAACATGGTCATGGAAAATCACCATGCTATTGATAGGTCAATCATCTATTTCTATGGACCATCTATACCATGGCGAACTGTTAGTCATAACCAGAGGGTATATCCCATTCATATCCCATTGAATCACTATAAATCTCATTAAATCACTATAATTCACTATCAATTTCCATTAAATGATGAGAAGCTGTGGTCACTAGGGTAACATAACTGGGGTAATGATGGTAAATGATGGTTAATATACTGTTAATAATGGTTAATACTAATGGTTAATATTAATGTTTATTACCGGTATATGGTTAATGATCTTGAATAATATGTGGTCACTGTTGATCAACCATCGGATCAACCTTTCTGGGTCCCAAGGGACTGGTGAAAAAGTCGATGCTGCACACGTCAAATTCCAACTTGTGCCTCGGTTCGTTAAGGGCGTGCCGGCACGCCCTTAAGGTTGGAAAAAAAGACCTGGTTGGTAAACCGGGGTCATATAGGAAAATATTGGAAAACATAGGTAATTTTATACCATTTTGAGTGGGCACTTATATCAGAAGTGGTTGAATTCTATGGTTTATTGTAGATATAACGAACTAGTTTTCATGATGGTTATTCCATGGTTTATATACCAACGTTCACATCACGTTTGGGGGCCCCATCCTGTATCATTGGATGTGGGTTTCTTGGAAATCATGGATTTTCCCATGAAATATGGGGGAATCCTGTAAATTTTCCCGTCAACCTATCCGATGAGCCTAAGGATTTTACCACGAAAAATGCGCGGATTTCACCGGCAAAAATGATGAGGAAAACCAGCGACAATGAGGACCAAAAAAACACAAACATGTTGAACTTACCAGCATAAAAACTTGAGAAAAAAAACTAGACACTTGGTGTCCCCTTTGGATGTGTCTGAAAATGGGGTACATCCTCAAAAATAGACATGTCAATGGGCTGAGGAACCAATGAAGCATCAAATTTGGAGAGATGCTATCTTCAGCCAAGCCCATTTTTTCTAGTATGTGGACCTATGAGTCATGATTATCTCATGTTATCTCCCCATAAATCACGGATATGTTCCCACTCATTCACGAACTAATCGTCAACAGGAAGTTTAGTCACTGCTGGGGGTTGAATTTCCGCAAGCCTCAGAGCTAAGCTGGTCGTTTTCAACACCCAGGACACCCCTACGAGTCGATGGCAATAAGGGTGGCTATGGAGAAGTGCCGCTGTTGAATGGGAAAATCATCCATAAATGGAGGGTTTCCTATAGTGGGGATGGCTTATCACATGGATGATTTGGGGATACCCCCATCTTAGGAAAGCCCCATATTAGGGCCGTTTTCCATGAAGACGTAGAGTATGTGTTATTACCAAAGGGTAGATGAAGGAAGTATTGAATGCAAACCTCTTCATGCCATGGCCTCAACAAAAAAAAACAGTGTTCTTTCTGTGAACTAAACCAAAGGAATTGCGGAGCAAACCATCTACCCTGTGGTTATAACTGTGCCGTAGCTATGAAACATCCCCATGTTTGAGCACGGTAAATCATCATAAATCATCGAAGTAAATGGTCCATTTCCCACAGCTAATTCTTAAATAACCCGAGGATATAAGATATATCCCCATTCTATTCCAATAATATCTATTTTTAGTGGTTTTATATGGATTTATGGGAAAATCATGGGAATATATGGGGATACCCTCTGGCTATGTCAACAGTTTGCTATTGAAAAGTGTCATTTATAGTTGATTTATCCATTAAAAATGATGATTTTCCATAGTTATGGGACAGTTTGCCAGAGGGTATCCCCCATGTTATCTCATCATTATCTCCCCATTAGATCCTCATGAACAAAATGACTGTTTAATTGTTTACTATCCTCATAAACTAGCCATGAGAACTGATAAGTTATATCCCACTAGATGTAGATCCTCATCAACTAATGGTAGAATTAAAATATCCATGAATTTCCGGAATGTCACGGGAACTAATGGGATATATCCCTTGTCAGGGGAACTAATGGGATATATATCCTCATAAACTTTAGAGTCATATTCATGAACTAATGGGAACCAATTCATGGAACTACATGACATCCATTAGATTCATATTCGTGGAATCATGGTCAATCTTTGATAGTCCACACAAAAATCATCAAATCTCTTGCCGGTTTGCTGGTGATTGTCCATTTAGCCTCTGGTAATTTGTTACAGTTTGCGACATTGAACATGGCCCATAAAAATTGTGGATTTTCCCATTAAAAATGGTGGATCTGTCCATAGTTATGTTAGTTTACCAGAGGGTAAACCTCCATTTTCCTATGGTTTTCCCATTTTCCTATGGGTTTCCCTATGGTAATCTTCATTTATAATGGCAAAGTTGGCTCTGCTGGATTGGTCTCTGGCCACAATCTGCGGCAACGGGATTCTCAAGGGATTCCCGGCTCGCGGCCATACTCTTGCCCCGACACCTACCGTCGAAGTACCGTGGTGAAAAAATCCGTTCTGAAATGAAGATATCACATGGATATTTCATGGGGGGTATGATGGGATATATCATGATACTTGATGATATAATATGATATATATATATATATGACCTGGTTGGTGGTTTTTTTCACAATCTTGAAACATGATGGAGTTCGTCAATGGGAAGGATGACATCCCATATATATATATATATATCCCATATATGAAATGGAAAATAAAAAATGTTTGAAACCACCAACCAGATATCAATCGACATGAGAAACCCATGGGTAAAACTTTATGCCATGTTTACCACCCAGTACTGGGAATGGTTTTTCTACATGTTTATACCACCTAAAAAAATGGTGATGACTGGGGGGATGGTTTATGACATTGTTTTACCCACATTCGTGGAATTTCACCAACAATAGCCGACCATGATGGGGATATCATGGGGTATAACAGGGAATGCAATGGGATGTATAGTAGGATGTATAACCAACACACGGATTACCGGGGGGGGGTCTGAAAATGGTGCAAATTTACCATACCCTCTGGTAATTTAACATAGCTATTGAAAATGACCATTTATAGTGAGTTTTCCCATTAAAAATGGTGATTTTCCATAGTTATGTTAGTTTACCAGAGGGTATCTCAAAACTTGTTATTTGAATGGGAAAATGATGATACACTCCAGTAATCATGGCCAGAGAACATCCACCATTTGATTCGACGTTTTTCCCAGCTATAAACCTCCATATACATCCATTTAGTACGGACATTGTCCAGCTAGCCACGTTTGATGACTGTGCCAGGTAAAACCAGTTGATGGAATGGGGTACCCTGACTACAAACCCAGGGGTTGGAACCAATGGGAATTCACATTTCACCAGGGTTTTCGGAAGATAGCAGAAACGGAGGCAATCTAATCATGCTAATGGTGATGATGCTAAATCCCATGTCATGGTCGTAAATCCAACAATACCCTCTGGTAAACTAACATAACTATGGAAAATCACCATTTTCCATGGGAAAATCCACTATAAATGGTGATTTTCAATAGCTATGTTAAATTACCAGAGGGTAGTATACACCATTTGCGGGATGACATGTTTAAAAAAACCATCTTTGTCTGGTTGGTGGTTGAGCCACCCCTCTGAAAAATGATGGAGTTCGTCAGTTGGGGTGATGAAATTCTCAGTATATGGAAAGTCATAAAAAATTCATGTTCCAAACCACCAACCAGTTATGCTAATAGCTGGGAGTATCATCTTCCATAAGCCACCATCACCCGAGATCATCCGATATGTGGCTGAGTTTTTGGGTCGAGTCAGCGGTCATCCACATCTCCTCATAGACCTCCTAAAGTCAACATTCAAAAGTTACCATTGAAGCCAGAGGAATTGGCACTATCCAAGCGCCGGAAAAGAATTTTCGAGCCCTAAGGTTTGGGGTTCCGAATTTCGGCGGTGTATCTAGCATGTTGACGAAAGATCGTAATGTACTTGGACGTCGCTCAAACTTAACAAGTAGTTCATCACCTTGTGGTAAGTGACCGTACCAGCTTGGAAAACCCCATGTTTCACCATCCATGAACCACTCGGGGCTGGAATTGTTCATTGGGGCTATTGAGCCCCTCTTTTGGTTGGTGCAAAGCCACCAGCGACTGGCTGGTTCAGGGTCGAAACGCCCTCCAAGGGTGACCCACAGATGGTGACAGGCTTCTGGTGGGTGACGGGCTGACCAACAACCACGAAGAATGGCTTACCCGGCCTGGTAAACTACTAACAGTTTGATACAGTTTGCGAACTTGAAAATGGCCATAGAAATAGTTGATTTACCCAGCTATAAAATCGTGGATATTTCCATAGTTATGGGACAGTTTACCAGAAGGTACCCATCTCAGAAAACTTCAACTTTGCAGCAGGTGGCTTTCAGGGGGGCTTGGGGGGGCTGCGACCCAAATCCCCACTAAAACTAGACCAGCAGTCACTGCCCAATTTTCCTTGGTGAAATCCATATTGCCATTCCTCAGGGTTGCTCCCAGCACTCCAGGTACGAAAGGTGTTTGTTGGTAGTTTCCCACTGTGGCAATCATGTAATGATGCACGTAATGTGGTATGCCCAACAACAATGGATCCCACATGTTGCTGATGATCTTACATGACCACCCAATGGTTGGTTGCTGGGTCTGCTTACCATGGGGTTTACAACATTGCCTAAAATAGTTGGAGCACCCCCATGTCCATTACCCTACAGTAGGTCGGTTATAAAGTCACAGATTAGTGACATCCCATGAATACCCGTACATCACATGATAAAATTGATGAATCACAAATGAGTGACATCCCATTTATAGTGGTTGCGTGTCATTTCCCTACTTATTCCTGGTTTTTTCCGTGGGATAAGTATATATAGAGTAGTTAATCCACTTGTAACTAAGTTACTAGGGTGAACTAACCTACTTAGTGGGTGAACCCCACCAAGTATTCAACTTCTGATGATTCAACTCACCACCCCCCATCCTGCTTGCGCACCTTGTAGAAGGACAGGGTTTGGTCCCAGCAGCCCACAACTAAAACATCCTAAGCGGAGCCAAAACAATTGGAAGATGTTCCAGAACATCTTAGGGCATTGGAAGGCGTTGTTTTGCCATTTTTTTTTCCGAAAAATGTCAGTTGGAAGATGAACTATGGATATATTTCCATGTTATTTTCCATGTTTTTTTCCATGTTTTCGGTTTTGGAAGAGGAATGTTGCCAAAAAAACAGGCTTTTTTCAAGACGATGACGTTCCATCGTAACGTCATGTGGTTCCTGCGCCTCTAGGGTGATGTGATGAAAATCCCCAAATTGACCCTGCGCCACTTAGTGGTTTGCCGATCAAGCCACAGGACCATTTGGGTTCACGATGTTCTACAGAAGGTTACGTACCCTCTGGTAAACTAACATAGCTATGGAAAATCACAATTTTTAATGGGAAAATCCACTATAAATGGCCATTTTCAATAGCTATGTTAAATTACCAGAGGGTAATCTTGATGTTCATGAATGGTACCCCATATATAAAGGGTAGTATAATCCCCCAACTAATCATCAACCAACCATCATTTATCAGTTACATACACTCAGATTATATACACTCTGGTAAATTAACATAGACCCTGGCAGTCGTCGGGGTTGGAAGATTAGTTTCCATTAAAAATTGGTGATTCTCAGGGTCTATGTTAATTTACCAAATGGTACCATTTGTTTTACCATTTTTTTCATGGACCCATATCCAGCTACAATACCTTTGATGATCTGGTTTTGATGCACCGGCGCAACCAACAGGGATAGCATCAGGAGGTGCATCCCTGGTATAGCGGTGAACATATTCCATTAAAAAGATCTGGCGTGTTCCATAAACAACTGGCTTGGAAAGTTGGAATATGGTTTATTATAGAATATACAATATGGAATATAATTTAATAATATATATATAATCATTAATGTTCTATCAATTTATCAATTTATATCATGTAATTTATTACCTACTTGCCCATCTTATTGCTTAAGTCTCCATCTTTGCCTAAGTCTCCATCGATGGTTAGATCCCCATGTATTCTGAAAAAAAAATCAATTGGACCCAAACCAATACGTTTCTTGGTCGGACCCAATATGTTTTATAGTCAATGAATACATTCACTTTAAAAGACATCATCCATTCATGTAGAAAAATACATGGCACATACCATATATGGATATGTATATATATACTGGTTGGTGGTTTCAACCCATTTGAAAAATATGAAAGTCAGTTGGGGTTACTATTCCCAATATACGGAAAAATAAAATTCATGTTCCAAACCACCAACCAGTATACACATGTATATAATCCCAAATACTGGATTGGATTGTAGAACTGTTGCAGTCTCCACTATATACCATATGAGCCAATTTCTCTCCAGAAATAACCCCAAACTTTTCATCTGGTTTTTTAAACCAGTGTTCACCCTTCCCTTTATTTGCCCTTGCCATTAAAACTAATTGAAACCAAATACCCCAGGCATTTGGGTTTGTCTTAAAATTGGGAAAACACAAAAATTCATTGGGAACATGAGCTTCCAAAAAAATCTAATCCCTTGGTATCCCTTGGTTCAGTGCTCGCAATGCTCAAAACCCATCTGTCATTCCATTTAATCCTGGTCGGTTTTCATAGGGATTCCCCGATTGGATCATTAATATATATAAGCCCCCATTGTTCAAAATCCTTCTGTCATTCCATTGTTTGGTTAAAACATGTTAAAGCGGGATTCCCCTATTGGATTATTATAAAGTAACCGTTATAATCACCAATATATAAAGGGTAGTATAATCCCCCAACTAATCATCAACCAACCATCATTTATCAGTTACATACACTCATATACCCATATGATTGATGGTTAAACCCCTAAAAATAGTGGTGATTTCCCCATGAACAAATCATCAACCAACTGGGGTTTTGATCCCTTGGTTTGCGCAAGATCTTCTCGACCAAGTCTCTGTGGGATCCTGTTTCGTCTGCACAGGGTTCCACCTCAAGAACGGAGTTTTGTCTACTTCCATATAATAATATATCATGTCTATAGATGTAGATTCTATCTATGTATGTATGTATGTATGTATGTATGTAGGCAGGTAGGTAGGTAGGTAGGCATGTATGCATGTATGCATGTATGTAATGTATGCATGTATGTATGCATGTATGCATGTATGCATGTATGGATGCATGTATGTAATGTATGTAATGTATGTAATGTATGTAATGTATGTAATGTATGTAATGTATGTAATGTATGTAATGTATGTAATGTATGAAATGTATGTAGTGTATGTAGTGTATGTAGTGTATGTAATGTATGTAATGTATTTAATGTATGTAATGTATGTAATGTATGTAATGTAATGTAATGTACTGTACTGTAATGTAATGTAATGTAATGTAATGTATGTATGTATGTGTATATACATAATATATACATACATATATATATATATCATGTATACATATTCACAACATGTGTATATAAATATATATACAGCACAACTACTTTTATACATCCGTGCCTTTGCTACGCATGATTTTGGTGTGTTCACGGCAGATCATTTAGTTCCATGATTTCACCATTCAAAACATGCGCGGAGATAGAGGACGTTCCCTTGCCACGTTTGTAGAGCCCACAGGTATCTACACGACATTTTTTCACCACCAGTGGCACAGTGGGCTCTGAAAAAGTGGAGATTCAAAAATGGAGCCTTTTTTCACTGCAGTGCAGCACATCCCACATAAATTGAGTTTCAAAAATGAAGATAGACCACATTTGGTATTGCCCCATGGTAGATATAAACAAAGTGGTATAAACATGTATAAACTATCATAAATTATATAATCCATTGTCATTTGGTATGCCCCATGTCCACACTTCATATCGTTGTTTGGTGCTTCAAATCCCTACAGTATGTGATGCATGATTTCACCGTAACCAAGGCACTGGCTCCCATAGATCCCACGTGGACTTATTCGTCCCTTCTTATGACTTCAATGCCCCATAAGTGAGTATGACCATTATGACTTATGACCATTATGATTCATAATACCATGAGTTAGGAATAGTTGGGAAACTCACACCCCAAATAAATTTGGACACAGATTGGCTATGTACCATTGTAAACCCACTATGTTTGGATTTGCATAAGATGGCCAACAAAAAATAGAACATAACCCCTATACATTCCCCAAATGGTGGATTTCCTATCGGAAAGATAAGCCAAATCATCTTCAGCACATCCAGCTATTTTGCCATATATACTAGTTGGTGGTTGAGCCACCCCTCTGAAAAATATGAAAGTCAGTTGGGGTTACTATTCCCAATATATGGAAAAATAACATTCATGTTCCAAACCACCAACTACATGTATATAATCCCAACATGTGGATTATAGGTGGATTATTGTGGATTATAGCCACATATAATATCATATAAGTATATATCCCATGAATTATATCCCCAACAATTCCCTATTTCTGGTGGTTAATCGCCATGAAAAAAAACCTTTTTCATGCCATTGAGAAACCACCATGTTTCCCAATAATTGGTGATTCAATTCTCATGTTACCCTCTTATAATCTCATCAAAAAATCCAATTCATGTCAACCCTGGATTAATGTCAACCCCTAGATCGATTGTTTAATTAAGGGAGGGCACCATCAAAAAGTATCATCATATTGTGACTATTTGGATGGTACCCCCTGGTAAACTAACATAGCTATTGAAAATGACCATTTATAGTGAGTTTTCCCATTAAAAATTGTTATTTTCCATAGTTATGTAAACGTTTACCAGAGGGTACCCCCACAATTTTTATGTCAACCATGGTGTCTTGTCTCATCCGGAGTTTTCTCCAATTTTCTTTCCCCATGAAATGGCCATGGCCGAAAAAACATCGACAGATCTGTTTGCTGGTGAAGCTCTATGCCGATAAGCCTAATGATAATCCCATGACAATGCCGAAAGACTAGTTAGGATTAGTTTCTGGATTAGTTGAAACTACCAATGTAGATAGTGTAGGATACAAAAAGTATCACCATGAATGTGGGATATATCATGATATATCTGATATATCTCCTCATCAAAAGATCCATCAAGTCATCACCAAAAAGATTGCCCCAGAAAACTGCACCCCTTTCTGCTGGCCCCGAGCTCGCCCCTCTTGGCATTCGCACGCCAAGGTCCAGATGGGCGCCTGTCGGACCACATCGGCCTTCTCCTGACCGTTCGTTGAACGGTTCACCAGGAAGGATGGCCGATCCAAGTTCAATTTAGGATATCACCAATTGTTGGTTGGTAAAGTGAACAATTCACGCTATGGTAAGCCCACTAAAAAGATAGAAAAGTGCTTTAGCAGAAAGGGATTTTGTTGCTTCGCTGGCGCCCGAGAGGCTAACAGTTTGAATTGCGGAAAAAAAATGGACCGTCATCAAATGGTTTATGCAGCATTAAACAGCACAAGTAAACCCAATGTTTGCCATGTGTGCCATGGTCACAAGAGGGCAAAAATGGTTGATGGTCATCCATCTCATAATCAGTGCCAATCTTAGATACCCTACACAAAATTAAATTCTTAGCTGGTTAGGAGATAATCCCATTGATATCAAAAGACCAGAGGATTAAAGTACCCATCTAAGATTGACCTAGTAATGGTAAACATGATGGGCATATTAATTCCTATGAAAATGGATTGATGACCATCGCCCATACTGGGGTACAAATCCAGCTAACTTGACCATGACACCCGTGAAAATCACCAACGCTCACCTTGGGTCAAGCTTGGTTGCGCTTAAACCATTACCCTATGAAACAGTACCCTATGGCTATTTAATAGGTTCCTATGGAAGATCCCGTTTTTCAATCGATAAATATAGGTAAATCATCCATAAATGAACCATTTTCCATAGACATGTTAAATTACCGGAGGGCAAAAATTGTCGTCCTCTTTTCGCCACTTTTATTTCGTTAAGAACGGGATTGACAGATCATGGATTGTGATAATTCCCAACTAATCATCAACATTCATCAACCAACCATCATGATTTCTTTCCACTCATGATCATGGTGATCATGATGGTGATCATGATGGTGATCATGATGGTGATCATGATGGTGATCATGATGATGATGATGATGATGATGATCATGATGATGATCATGATGATGATCATGATGATGATCATGATGGCTCACAATTTTCCAAGCTTTAGTCACTGCTGGCGTGAACATCAAATAGTCCGCCAATCAAATGAAAATTAAAATTTCACGAACTTGATGGTATATAATTGGGATACCCTCTGGTAAACTAACATGGCTATAGAAAATCACCATCTATAATAGGTAAATCAACTATAAATGGGCCATTTTCAATAGCTATGTTAAATTACCAGAGGGTATACTGTACAGTAATTCAATTTGGAGAATGTCAACCCCGGATTTTGCTAAGCCCCTGCGTTGTTGCCAACGTCCTCTCCGAACTTGTCTCGGATGCTAATGTGGCCTTGGCTGCTGGAAACGGGAGCTTGGGAGGACTTAACAAGTGGGTACCCTTCCAGTAACTGACATAGCTATGGAAACCATGGCCCGTTTGTAGATGATTTACCTATAAGAAATGGAGGTTTCCATAGCTATGTTGGTTTACTGGAGGGTATCAACGAACCCGCGAAATCAAAAACATCAATTTTTGTGTATCCAAGAAATGTATCACGACTCTTATAATATCCAATGGGTACCCGCAATCCATGGTGGTTTCCTCATGTCCTTTAGTAGTTTCGTACCCAAAAATAAGGATCGATGTAGGACGCAGTTTCGTTTCCTCCATTCTCCATCATACTAGCCACTAGCGGCTGACCAGGAAACATGGGGGATATCAGCATGAAACATTGGGCTTTTGAGCTGCTCATTTCTGAAAGGATGGGTGTGTCTGAAAATGGGGTATATCCCAAAGTCATGTTGATTTGAATCGGGAAAATGGTGACTAACCAGTGGATGGAATGGGGTACCCTAGTTTCACACAAACCCAGATGAAAAGAATGGCATCTGAATTAAATTCATTCAGTTATGTGTTATTTCTCTACTATATATGTACATATGTCTAATGATATTCAGTTATATATTGTTGTTTAACATCCCATGTTTGATGCTTCACACTCATGGAAATACCACACCAGTTGCCTCACCAATTCAACCCGTCACACGGGTTCACCCAGCATGGTCAGTTTTAGATACTGTGCAAAAAGAAATAGATGGTGAGTCAATGTCACGATTTAGAGCCAAACATTGAAATGTTAGAACAGGTGATATTATAAAATCCATCTAATTCTATCTAATTTTAGCATCCATCTAGGTCAGCGAGGAGAATAAGAACATAGAACAGGGGTGCTCCCAACACTCCAGATAGGGGAAACTGGCAGAGAGTTAAAGTCATTCACTTCCCCCCCCTGTTTATAGAATTCATTTACAGTACCTACAATAGCTTAAACCTGTACTTACTGGGTAGTTAACTGGATCCTTTCCAATGCTATAAAGCCTTCAAGGACGGGAAAATGAACCCCTGTTTGACTTGCTTGGAAAACTCATGCACCTCGGCTACCTAGGATACAACAATAGCTCCTAACAGCTCCCTCCATTCTACCAGGGAATGAAATAGTCATAAGCTGGGCTTTATACCATCACTATGATCTTCGGCTTCAAAAACCATCATCTTTGTTGCTATAGCTGCTATATCCCTTCAAAAACTCCATCTGAATACCATCAATTTCCATCTGAATATCCTACTTCTCCATTCTTCTCCAGTTCAAAACCCCATTTTTCGCCCCCAAAAATCTCCCAAACCACACCAAAAAACCCACCATCTCCCGTTCCCAGGGACCGCTGAAGAGGCCCAGGGCCAGGTGGAGCCCATCGTTGGTCCAGGACATGGCCAGGATCTTGGAATTCACCTCAGAGCGGAAATTCCCAAGATAGGGTGCTTTAACCCTGGTTTATCCTCCATAATCCCTGGTCTATTGGAGTGATATTCACCAACTTACCCTCTGGTAATGACTAACACTTCGCGAACTGGAAAGATCCACCATGCGAAAAAAGAAGGGTACAGCGCATCTATTTCGATTAGGGCCATGGCTTCCAGTTCGCTTTTTGTATGTTTACCAGAGGGTATCCCAGATCTGCCTGGACGTGAATGGCCATAGATCATCAAGGAGGTTGGACAAACCACAAATGGAGATATAATGCGATACGATGGGATAGAATGGGATATAAATATAGTGTGTATATATATATACATATATATATATATATAAACCCTAAAATCAACCAAGTAACTCGTTCAATCCTAGTTACAACCGCTTTTTTGATCTGCCACGCAGTTATCAGCTGCCGAGGTCCGGTACGTGCCAAGTGTCCGCGATGCAGATGGGGATAGCCCCGCTATTATGTGGTGAATAATCCTAGTTTGTAAGTCCCCATCTGTCAGTGGGTTATCCCAAATCAAAATACAGTAGATTAAAATTGTGGTTGCTAATGAGTTTCTAAGTCAAATGATCCTCCAAGTGGTGCTTGATGGTCTCCGAGATTTGTTTTGAAAGACCTAAATTGGAAGCAACTCCCCTAGGATATACAGTAAGGTCTATTTCCGGTACATGTTGTGGAATACCAACCCTGGTAGTCTATAGTTATAAAGGTTCATATAGCTCGAATGATCTGACTGTTGCATCCCATACCCCACATGTCATGTGTCATTGGGGAGTATCATCACAAAATATCACAAATACCGTTGAAATTTACGGTATAAAATGGGGAGTTCCATGAATGGGGGTACCCCAAAAAATGCATGGTTTATAATAGAATCTAATAGAAAACCCTCTTGAAATGGATGATTTGGGGGTACCCCGCGTACCCCTATGGATTGGAAACCTCCATATAAGACCACCTACATTGGAGGCAACTACCACATGCAATTTTGTGCATCTGGATGGGCCATCGATATAGGTTTCTATACAGCTTTGATTCTGCAGCCATAATCTACCCTATGGTAAACCAACAGTTTGCGAACTTGAAAATTGCCATTTAGTTCGTTGAGTTACCTATTGAAAATGGTGATTTTCCATAGTCAAACGTTAGTTTACCAGAGGGTACCCCAAAATCTCCAATGATTTCTCTTTCTATCATAACCTTCCCAGGTCGACCGGCCAAAAAAATATGGAAATTAAAAAAATCATGTCCGGAGAATCCCCCATTATATCCCCACTGATTGAATCATATCCCTGGTATATCCCCAAAACCCATGCCTGGTTGGTGGTTTTAACCATCTTGAAAAATATGAGTTCGTCAATGGGAGGAAAACAAAAAATGTTTGAAACCACCAACCAGATAAAAGTCGGCTACATCCCAAAAAAAACCAAGCCCTAAATCCAACTAATTGCCAAAATCCCTACGCTGCAGCGTGCCGATGCAAAGCGCGCCTTGCGTTTGGACACGGACTTCTGCTCTGGGGACCAGAGCCCCAAATCCGACGCCGTGCCGCTGGCTAACTGAGCGATTTGACAGGCGGTGAAACCAAGCGTATCATATGGGGGGATATCATAGGCATGTGACTAATCTTGAAACTTACTATATAAAGTTCCTAGATATGATGAAATACATATGTTTCACTTATAAGTAAGAATATGTAAGAATATATTTTGAGATATGACGAGTGACTTTGGATTTCCGCAGTGCCACATACTGATTACAGTTTCAATCCTCCTCCACGTTAAAACCCCTACAAATGGATACAAACGGTACAGGTAGTGTCGCATAGTTGGCCAAGTTTATTTATAGCTCCAATACCTAGGGTCTATGGTGATATAATATATCTATGCTATTCTATACTGAATGTCGGCTATAAACCAACAACACAGCTGGGGGTCTACCACCTTGTCGTAACTAGTATAGCCCCAAGGATGACAATATAAAGGAGTTGGCCGCAGAATGTCCAAAAAGCTCAAGGAAATCCGGAGACCAGGACCAACAAAAAAACATGGATCTGGGTAAATTATAACATTTCACTAAGCTGAATTAAGGCCATAAAAGGGGATGATTTCCCTTATTAACCATGATTTCCAGTGAGGGAGAACAGTGAGGTCGTTATAATTTTCCCAGATGGATGCCTGTTGCCTTGAACTATCTTGAACCTTGACGTGGCGAATCCTGCTCAATGTCTGGTAAACCTCACAATGCCGTAGTCACCATTCGGTTTTATGATGGGGTATACCCCTGCTTGAAATGATGCGGAGGAAACCCAAAAAAAAATGAGTTAACCAAACTATCCTCATTTGAGCAGTGACAGGATCTTTAATCTTTGTCTCAATTAATGGCCCGGCCCAGTGCAACAACTATTTGCCCAGCTGACAACACAACAGCAGCTCGTCTCAACTTTTCAAAGCTTCGCGTAATCGAAGCTCCGCTACTGCCGGCACAACTTAGAATTTGGTATACACTGAGACAGGGGATTGCTTTTCTGCGCATGAGTCTATATGGAGGTTTCCTAAAATGAGGGTTCCCTAAATCATCCATTTTAATAGGACTTTCTACTATAAACCATCCAGCTATTGGGGTATCTTCATTTATGGAAACCCCCATATCACGCAACATATTCTGTACGTTGTAGACTATGTATTCACTGCCTTCGTTCCCGAGTGATCCACGCCCTCAGGTCTTGGAAAACGTAACTGACACTCTGGTCTGCGCGGCCAATCTGACATAACCAGCAGAAAGGGAATCGCAAAAATCACCTGGGACTTCTCTTATCATTCACTTATAGCAAACCCAAAATTGATAGAGAAGTGGGAAACCTGAAATATGTATTAAATAGCAACTATAACCTCCCGGAAAACACTTTCAATTTTTTGGGGATGGAGATTTTCAGTCAAACAGCGCCTAAAATTTACCTATCCTCTCAGACAACCAAGATTTCATGGTTGTTGAGGGTGCCCCCCAAAAGATCATCCATGGGGTTCTTTGGCTGCATCAACTTCCACCAGAAATTGCATGACGTCGAGGTGTCCATTGCGAGCTGCAACCAACAAGGGTGTTGCGCCATTGTTATCTGCTTGATCTTTGGCTGCACCATGTTCGACTAGAAATCGCACGATGTCGAGGTGGCCATGTCTAGCTGCAATCCACAAGGGTGTTACACCATTGATATCTGCTCGATCTTTGGCTGCACCATGTTCGACTAGAAACCGCACAATGTCTAGGTGGCCCTGCCAAGCTGCAACCAACAAGGGTGTTTTACCACTGGTGTCAGCTTGATCTTTTGCTACGCCAACTTCGACCAGAAATCGCACAATGTCGAGGCGGAAATGTTTACACGCAACCAACAAGGGTGTTCTGCCATTGTTACGTGCTTGATCTTTGGCTGCACCAACTTCCACCAGAAATCGCACGATGTCGAGGTGCCCATTGTGAGCTGCAACCAACAAGGGCGTTGCACCATTGTTTGCCGCTTGATCTTTGGCTGCACCATTTTCGACTAAGAGGCGGACAGTGTCCAGGTGGCCATTGCCAGCTGCAGCAATCAATGGTGTCGCCCCTCTGGCAAACTCTGGCTGATCTGTCTTTGCTCCTGCCTCCATTAACAGTTCCATAGGTTGAACACGTCCCTGCTCTGCAGCGTGAAACAAGGGTGTCTTGCCATCATTGCTTGCCTCATTGGGATTTTGTGGTCGATGCAGCAACTGTTCAAGAGCAACTACATCATTGTCTCTAGATGCCAGAATCATTTTCTCTGTTTCTTCATCATCAGTTGGCCAGAATTCCAAGACCACCAGCTGGATCTTCAGTGGGGCCGGATCTAGAACTTCATCATCCTGGATCTCCGAACCATCTTCCACAAAGAATCTTTGCTTAAATCTGGAAATGCCAACCTTGGCTGCCAAGGCTTTCTTCACTGCCTTCGCTGTTTTGCCTTGTAATTCATCTTCAAGGACTGTGAGCGTCTCGCCCGACGTTAGGAAACACACCTCCATCGCCGCAAGTTCCTAGGTAGTGAGAACTCAAAAGTTTATGTCTATGTTGCGAGTTATGTATATATATATATGTTATATATTGTATAGAATATGAGTATATAGTATAATATAATATAACTTGCAGCATATAATCTGAAAATAATATAATACATACATACAGGATAAAACACGATGTCTTTGCAATAACAGGCAATGCTACACACCCCATGATGCATCACAGGCGTTCATCCCACAAGCAACGCAAGTGGATGTGGCTGATGGCGGCCAGTGATATACCCATTGACAGGTGATGTTCCCAGCGTTTGAAACCTCCATTTATTTTGGGGATTTTCTAGTTCGCTATGTTAGTCATAACCAGATGGTATATACCCTCTGGTAATTTAACATGGCTATTGAACATGTACCATTTATAGTTGATTTACCTATTCAACATTGTGATTTTCTAGTTCGCTATGTTACTTTATCAGAGGGTATATATATGTATGTATGTATGTACGTGTGTATGATATTTCATGTGGTAAAGCCAACACAAAAAAACATCCCCACCAGGAGTCGATCTTGTTGGCGTCATGCCGATATGGATGGATCATGTTTTCATGACCGTATTATGTCAGCACATTCCAATGATCCATAATCCGATATTCATCCATGATCTGGTTGGTGATTTTAACCATCTTGAAAAATATGAAAGTCAAGGTTATCCAATATATCATGGAAAATAAAAATGTTTGAAACCACCAACCAGATGATTGTTGGCTATACCCTCAGTATTAACTACTATCAACCATAACTAAGTGGAGGTGTCCTAATTCTAGGGGGTACCCCAGTTCTCCAGTTCGCTGGGAAAGACGTTTCGATGTTTCTTTTAGGGATTTTCCAGCCATGTTTCTGACGGAACGAGACCACTTCTTCCAAGATCTTCCTTGGTGTATTTTGAAGAAACCCCTTAAAATCTCGCCATGTTCAATGATTTCTGGATTGATCCAAAAATATTTAAAGCTCAAATCCCTGCGTTTTGCTGCTGAAGATATCCCAGTATTTGATACAAACTCCCTATTTCTGCTGGTGAAATGTGCGGTCCGTGTCCAACTTTCCGTGTGAAAACCCATTTGTCTTGATGGTTTCCACTCCCACCTGTTGTGTCACCGGGTTGTAGGCCAGGCATTGGATAGACCTTAGTTTCTCGTAGATACACCATGTCTACAAGGTGCTTTCCCGAGGTCCTTAGTTAAGTTGCTACTGTAGCAACTAACGATTGGGTTTATGGTAGATATATTCGAAATGACTCGAACTAGTGAATGGGGACTCAACCAACTAGGCTTAACCTGGTGGCAAATTTGAACTTTCCTAATAGGTTCCCCAGGTCTGGTGGTTTAAGCAATGGGACATGGGAAACTCCATGGAAAACTCATCATCTTCAGCAAAATCCAGGTGTAGGTGGATATGCAACCATGGACCATACTTATAGGGCTGATTTCCCATCTTGTGGGGGTTATAACCAGTCGATATACCCATAAAATAACCTCAACTGCAACCCCAAGTAGGTGGCAAGTGCTGTGAATGGTGTGCTGCATTGATGCAGAAAGGTGAACTTCTAGCCTACACCTCGCCACGCAAAGTCTGATTGGTGGGTTTGAAAAGTACTACCCTCTGGTAAACATACAAAATAGCTATTGAAAATGGCCATAAAAATGGTTGATTTACCCATCAAAAATGATCATTTTCCATAGTTATGTTAGTTTACCAGAGGGTACTCATTCCAAATCATCATCCCAATATGGTTAAAAAAACATGCGAAAACAGCTGCTACAGTGGGGACACCCCAACATCCGCACACCTCTAGCACAAGGAACAAAATAGGAAAAAAACACCTTACGCAAGTGCGAGCATGTACAATGGCTGCCCTTCTTGCAGATGGGGGAAGCCACCAACATCCACCAAGCAGAAATGGTTCCCATTCATGCTCGAGCTGTGATACAGCAGCGTAAACTAACAGTTCGATGTGGAAAACCACCATGAAAGTAGATCATTTTCGGAACAGGAAATCACAGGTTTTTGTAAGCTTTGCACATCCATCTTAATTTACTCCAAGGTATCCAATATCACAATCAGGATATATCAGGATGGTATAGTCCCTCCAGTTTAGGTACGTACTTGAAATGGCCGTGGAATAACGCACATTTCTTTTTCCATGTCAGTTTTCAGGTACCGGTACTAGTCACAGGGCACACACGGTATTAAACTGATCGACCGGTACTCATTTGTTATGTTGTCCATAGGTTGTTCAAGCACGCGCTTGCTACTCAAGCTGCTTCTGATCTATGGCTCTGTCTTCGTCTCTTCCTCTTCTTCCTCTTCTTCCTCTTCTTCCTCTTCTTCTTCTTCCTCTTCTCTTGTCTTCTGCTTCTCTCTCAGGCTTCCATCTAGTGGCAAACTCCGCTTCCACCCTGTCCCCTTCCATGCAGCGGTCTGATGTCAAGCCAGAGGCTCATACATAGTACCTGGCGCTACTTTGCTGCCGGCGCTACTCATTTGGTATACGGTCAACCACCTAGAGTGCACATCAAACTCCCTTGGGGCCACCTCTCCATTGCCGCAGGCTTGCCGAAGGCAATTGAATACATTGGTTTGTGTAATCCCCCAACTAATCATCAACCAACCATCATGTACCAGTTGTATTATATATATATTATATAATATCCCCATATTGTTGATGGTTAGAATATGTTAAAACCCTATATAAATATTGTTTAAATCATCCCCATGAAAAATCATCAACAGGGCTGTCTCGCAGCCGTGGTGCTCGTTGTGGTTGTACTTCAAGATGCCTTCCGCCTACGGTGAAAGCGGAGCAAGGAGAAAAAAAACGGCCTTGTAGCCAAGAGTTGATGTAACTACCCTCTGGTAAACTAACATAACTATGGAAAATCACCATCTTTAATGAAAAAATCCACTATAAATCACCATTTTCAATAGCTATGTTAGTTTACCAGACGGGACATGAAATGACACTTTCATGATGATAATATCTTAGGACATATTAGGAATGAATATGTACTTAGTTATAATAATGATATAACACAATAATCATGACAGTAATGATGATAGTAATTGTGATAATATTGTAAAACTAATGATAATCACATATAACACGACAAAACAAAAATATTTTCAGTACTTATTTAGAAACTTGCTTGCTGGTTCATGGATTCGGAATCGTGTAAAGGTGGATATTCCTAACCCCAGTTATTTTTTTGTAGGTCAGGATAAGCCACCGGCTTAACCAGAACCAAATCCTGGGATGAGCCACCGCATGGCTGCCAGATAGCCATAGCAAAAGATGACCAATTCTTAGCTGGTGAACGTAGATACCCTCTGGTAATTTAACATAGCTATTGAAAATGGCCATTTATAGTTGATTTTCCCATTAAAAATGGTGATTTTCCATAGTTATGTTAGTTTACCAGAGGGTAATCCCTGAAAACCCTCTGGTAAATTTTTACAGTTCGACCCTGAAAGTAGCCAATTTTTAATGGAAACTTGTATGAACCAACCCCGATGACTGCCAGGGTCTATGTTAATTTACCAGAGGGTAATACCAAAAGACTAAAGTGACTAAAGGATTAAAGTAGCCATCCAAGATTGACCTAGATTTAGCCAAAGACCCAAATTTTGGCAAAATCAATCCCATAATGTGCTACGGTCAAGTTACACAGCTTTTTCATGGGGTATATCCCATCCTCATGTTGCCGGAGGGTACCATTGTTGTAACAAAAACACTGATATACTGTACACTCCAAGATTTTGTGGGTGGTTGATCTAGTTTTCCTTAATAGAATTGCAATAAATTGTGGTAGGCAACGTTTCTGGGCAAACCTATAGTATATACAGTATACTCCATTGTAAATTCAGATCGATATGGAAAATTCACCATGAATATCCATTAATAGCCCTAGAGTATGGTCTTCATTTGATGCCCTCTTTGCGCATTCCACGAGACCAGGCATTTCCAGATAAATTTATAGAAATCTATAGATGGGGAGCCTCAGGCATAGAACACTTTTAGATGTTCTGGCTGTTTTCAGATATTCACATTTGTTTAGTTTTTTCAGGCAGGCTTAGATTTTTTAGATGTTTAGATTTTTCAAATTCTGTTTCGGCATTAAATTGGCAAAAGAACGGCGCAAATGAAGACATATACAGCAGGCTCCTAGGATTAGATAACCTTTTGGGGAACAAATCTCAACTTCATGGAAGGTATCACTATTTTCAACCCATCTCATGTTGTTCTCTACGTCTTTACATCCCTATTGTATCCCCATGATACCCCCATGTTTGTTGGTTAAATCCCCTGTATATTCATGTATATTCCCCGTTTCTATTTGTGGCCAAACACCACCATTCACCCTTCACTGCGCTTGACCGTTCGCTCGCTTGAAATGGCCCGGCCCGGCCAAGCCTTGTGCGTCCAAATAATGACCTGCTTATCTGCCCCGCCAGAAGCAAACCTCAGCAGGTCGCTGTGCCTCCGCGTGCTTTGGGTTAAGTGTATGTCTGAAAATATGGGATTTACCTTAGGATTTACCATAGGATTTACCATGATTTATATACCTCCTCAAATTTTGCCTAGGCAAATTGTTAACTTTGAATAAGGAAAATGGTAATTGAAAGTCAATTTTGGGGGGAGCTCCCCGCCCCTTTTTTTTTTCGAACATCTGGGACCGGGATTTACGGATGTTCATCCTCTTTAAAAGATTGGAATCTGGAATCTCCCCAGTCTCAGGAAAACTTATGGATTGTGTATAATGTCAACTCCGGATTAATAAACCATGGTTTATTAATTGTGGGGGTACCATCCCCTTATAGTCACAATATGATACTTAAATGGTGCCCTCCCAATTAAACAATCTAGGGGTTTATTAATCCAGGGTTGACATTACGGGTTATCTTAACCACAGGTATATTATAGGTTACCCTGCGGCGATCAAACATGGCAATGGGAAATCCCCTACAGCACAATGGGAAAATCATCGAACTAAATGGGCCAGTTTCCATACTTGGGTTAAAGTACCAGAGAGTATACCCATAAGAATAACCGCAGCTGCACCCCATTGTGGGCTGGGTCCCCAGACTTTTTCCCATGTCTGGAATAGGCCACGCAGAAAACGCTCTCCTGGTTGACCAGCACGGCAGTGCTGGAATAGGCCACCGAACAGTGGCCGAGGATCATCAGTGAGGAACTGAGGAACTTCAACAAAAAAAGTATATCCCATAGGATCCATGTATGCTATATATGGTAACATTTACCATCTATATACCCCAGTCATGTTAGCATATATACCAGCACCATGGATCCTATGGATATAGAAACGCTGGCGTTTACCCTCCGGTAATTTAACGTGGCTATGGAAAATAATCCATGTAGTTCAATGATGTACCTATGAAAAACACGACGATTTCCATAGAGAAATGTTAGTTTATCAGGACCCATTGAATCCTATAAAATCGCCTCAAATCCACATTGATGTTGGGTAAATCAGCCCATTAACAGCCTCTATATCCCATTGAAATCAGCCAACGGAAACCTACCAAAACTGGGGGGGTATAAAATGGTATTAAGCCAACCAACCAAAACTATATATATATAATGGGATATTAAATGGAATATTGAATATTGTGAGGGGAATGTGAGTTTAACAACTTTAACCCTCTAACAGAGGGAAACCACTGCAAAAATTCACCGAAAAGATACAGAAAAAATCCAGAAATATCCCATAAGTCCACCATGTTTCCTGGGTACCCTCTGGTAATTTAACATAGCTATTGAAAATTGCCTATTTATGGTTGATTTTGCTAGTTTTTTTTTGGTCGTTTTCCAGTTCGCAAACTGTTAGTTTAGCAGAGGATCACTTCAATGGGAAAGTAAAAAAATGCTGGCACAAATATCTAAAGACATCACTACAATTCCATTCATCCACCCTTCAAAATCCTAGGGAGATTAGAGGCTAAGAGGTAATGATGGTTAATGTTGGTTAATATATGGTTAATATTAATGGTTAATATATGGTTAATGATCTTGAATAATATGGTTTATCAATGATTACTGGTTGGTGGTTGGTACGCCAACCCCTCTGAAAAATGATGGAGTGAAAGTCAGTTGGGATGATGAAATTCCCAATATATGGAAAAATAAAATTAATGTTCCGAACAACTAACCAGTTCTGCCATTTTTCCATGGTAAATCTTCCCCCGCGTCCTTGTGCCCCTTCAGCGAATGGACCAGGTCCCCGTCCGTCGCGTCGTAGACCAAGACACGGTTGCCAGCCTAGGCCGTGAAGCCCCGCAAAAAAACATGGGAAAACGTAGGAAAACCCATGGTTCTTCATGTGTTTTCCATGTGAAATGTAGGGAAACCATGTTTTTTCCCTAAAATCTAGGGAAACCATGGCTTTTCGCTATCCAAATATAGGAAAACAATAGGGAAACAATGGTTTTGCGCTATGAAATATATGAGGAAACGATTGCTTTTCCCTATCAAAATATAGGGGTACAATTTTTCCCCAATCAAATATAGGGTGGTTCTGGTTTCAATTTTCCGTTGAAGCAATCCAATGAGAGGTACACCATGACCGTAGATTTCTGTGTTCTTCCATGTTTCTCGAATCTGTCGAAACACTTAATCGTAGCTCTACAGCAGCATTGAACAAAAGTATACAAAAGTCAGAACATCTGCACATCTTCAAAAAAAATATGGCTCCAATCATCATAATTTCATAATTTCATAATTTCATAATCATGTACCCAACGTATCATCAATTCATTCAGATGTTCTCTCATTTTTTGTTAACTCCCCATGATATCCCCATGTTTTTCGTTGCTCAAAACCCGAGGCGCTGCCACGATGATTTGCGTGCCATCCGGCTTGAAGGCAATACCTCAACGCGACGAAAATTGGGGGGGATTGGACCTAGCAAAAGATCAGGGAATAATCAGGGAATGAAGCATGAAACATGGGGATTGAACCATGAAAAATGGGGATTTAACCATGAAACATGTGGAAATTCACCATGAAAATGCGCATTGGACTGATTGAACCAGCAATAAGTCTGGATTTCATCAAGAATGGGGAGGAAGTTCCCTATAGAGAGGCATTCAACTGACAAGAAATGTAAACGTTGAACCAATGTTTAACAACAAAAACAAACTGATTTTGATGACTTTGTGAACAAACAAAACGAGGGAGTTCATGGACATAGCCACATAGTCACCCAAATTAGGAATGTAGCTAGCAAATAATGGCTGGTTGGTGGTATACCTACCCTCTGAAAAAAATGAGTTCGTCAGTTGGGATAATTATTCCCAATATATGGCAAAATAAAAAAATGTTCCAAACCACCAACAGGTAAAGAGGGATTGTCCTCGTCAGGCTATGCCAGCGAAGAGTCGGGATATGACCAGCTTCCAGATTAAAGGTGCCGAAAGAACATCGTGGCGACTATGACCCAAGACATTTCTGGGAATTCTGTGGAAAGAAACCAAGGAAAAAAAACACAAAAATACCACAGCTTCCCAAAAAAAAAAAAACAATTCTGCTACAATTTCGCATTCAGAAACTGAGCCAAAAATCGACTCGACTCAACTCAGCAAATCCAGGATTTCTATCAGAGACTTCACCACTGCCGAGATGCTCCAAATGCTGTTGCTCCATTTTTCCCTCTCTGGCACCTGGTTGAAAGCTTCGCCAGTTGCTTTTAAAAAAAATGAGTCAACTGCAACTTTTCTGGGTCAAGTCAACTTTTTTTGAAGGTTCCTAAAATAAAAACGGACCCAGAAAGCATCAGAAAACAAGCAACAGAACACATCTGGTTGGTGGTTGTAATCATCTTGAAAAATATTAGTCAATGGGAAGGATTATCCCATATATTGTGGAAAATAAAAAATGTTCCAAACCACCAACCAGGAACACATCTTCCCTGGTGTTTCATGTTTTGGATCAAGTCAACTGTGGCCGGGTGGTCCTAAAACCCAGAAGATTAAAAAAACACCGGGATCATCGTGGGTCCAAACATACGGACAAAAGCAACTAGCACAACTCGCTGACCTTGGGTGAGCCATATAATGATAGATACCTGTTTATTATATATATATATATATATGTATGTATACAGTATACATATATATATATGTATAATTAAATAGATGCTATTGTTTGGGTACATATGAATATGAAATTGTCCAAAATGGATTGCCCCAAATGTCCATGGTTTATGATCTTTTCCCTTCCACAGACGTCCTGGAACCACTAAGATCAACTGAACGAAGCTCTGCTGCGAATGGAAGCAGATTGGAAACACTTGACGAATGGAATTACCATCTGGTTATTTAACATAGCTATGGAAAATCCATTATAAATAGAGGTTTTAATGGGAAAATCATCTGTAAATGGGCCATTTTCCATAGCTATGTTTGTTTACCAGAGGGTAATTGTGTGTACGAGTTGTCCTCAAGCTTGTCAAAAGGTTGTTTGAATCGGACATGACCTATTTCACTATGGCATTTCAAGTGCAACTAGCCAGAGGCTCCAGTAGGCTTGTGTCGCTTTCTGCCATTTCATGTGTTTGTTTGTTTTGCAGGGGTTGGTAAATGTCCCATTTTGGGAATATTGGACATCACCTTATAGTAGCCATTATAGACCATATACCTAATGGTTGGGTGATGTTCAATGGGGACATTTAATGACCCATGTTTTTTTGTCGGGATTCGTTTCTTATCTTTTTTGCCAGGTGCGATGTTTGTAGTGCCATAGAACAGCGCGTGTCTTATCTACCAGGATGGCATCCTTTGCTCCCGGCCCCTGGTATGAGACAGCGAGTCTACAGCCAAGGGTTTTCCTCATGGTTCGTCTTGATTTTTCCGATTAAAATGGTCATCTGAAAAATATTTACATCATTTTCAAACACATATCTACATAAATCCCCTCCAAAAAATTGGCTCCGGAGTCTACACCCTGGGCGAGCCCGCGCCTTATCCTGCCAGAGAGTCACAGTACGCATCGCCTTGGCACAGAGAAGATGTGGCAATTGTGGGTGCAAGGTGGGGATAGAGTTCAGCTCCACGAAAACCCTTAGGGAAGCAAGTCTGGATCATTCACCACTTGAAAAAATCCTTCAATATGGGTTGAAATTGTGTATTTCACTAAAAGCAATCAAAATCCATGGCGTTGACGGCGTTGACGGTGTTTTGAGCAAGGCTTGATTTCTACCCACTGATCAATCACCTATCTCAACCACCGGATCATATACCCGCAAATGATGTGGTTTTGAACCAAGAAAAACTGAACTAACATTCCCGCATCCTCATTTCTGTTGATGTCACCTGCTGGGTATAACGGAGGATCATGCCAAAACGATTGATGATTGGGGGTGGGCTGGATTCCAACAACCATCCATTTAGCGGTGATTTAACCCCTCCAGGGCTCCCGAACCCCGCGGCACGGCGCAGGAACCCGCGCGGCCCCCTAACACTACAACTCTACACCCCTCCCGCTGACGCAACCGGCGAAGGGATGAAGGGTCAAGGTCGAATTCAGCAACTGAGACTGGGCCGACCCAGTCTTTCCGTTCGCAGTTCGCTGTTTTTTGGGGAGATTTGATGGTGGTTCACTCCAGTTGGTAAGTGGGAACCCGTAACCCAGGCCAAAAAAGGGGGACTGATCCCACTTACCATGGGGTGAACCACCAAGGCATCAGCCAACGCAGATGAAGTGGACAAATGCTACGTGGTTCCTAGGATGTCAAAAGTTGTGCTGCCCTGGGGTTCACACTTCATGACAACTCTCTCACATCTTTAGGAGAAAAATGTTTGATCATGTCTTGTATGTAGGTGGCCGTCGAAAATGGAGTAATTACACCAAGAAGAAAAAAAATATATATATATTCGGTCTATCAACCACTTCCCCATTCAAAATCAGCAGTCCAAGGCCAAATCTTACAACCCCAATTAAATTCAAGTGATCTATCGGAGGGCTCAATAATCTGGAGCTAGTCATAGACATTACCTATTTGCCTGTTCTACAAATCCGTTCGTTTCAAACCAACTGGCTACCCTCTGGTAAACTAACATAACTATGGAAAATCACAATTTTTAATGGGAAAATCCACTAGAAATAGCCATTTTCAATAGCTTTTTGTATGTTTACCAGAGGGTAATTCTACTCTCGTAGAATTCTGCTGCTACTGCTCTACGGATCCGACAGCCCGAGAGGTCAAAGGATATGGTTTTTCAGCATTTTTGGTCTGAAAAATGGTCCTCGAAACGGAAATCCCATGGTTTTGCCGTAGAGTCGTTGCATTACAAAGTGGCCAGGGCTGAGATTGTATGCCATGAGCTGACTGCCATCATCGCAAATTCAATCAGATTAATATTGGTCCAAACACATGAAACTGGAAAGCACTTGGATTCCCCATCCGTTGGCAAATACGGCTATGGATGGCGAACTGGGAAATCGCAATTCTTAATAGGCAAATCAAGTATGAATGGTAGATGCGGCAGATGTTCAAGGGTAATTCCTCACATTTTGTTTTGGTGTCCATCTTGGTTGCTTCAAACCCCTGACTCTCACCAGCCTGATTACCATTGCTAGGGATGGATGGCAGTTTGGCAAGTAACGATGCGTCCATCCGGAATCCCCTTGGTGGCAATCATTTACCCTCTGGTGATTTGAGATAACTATGATTAACTATGTAAAATCACCCTTTCTAAGAGGCAAATCATCTATTTTCATGGGCCATGGCTTCTATAGCTACTGTGGATGGTTGCAAAATCTTGCACCACCAAAGGGATGGTGGAAACATGTTGAAACCCTACAAACAATGGGAAGTTTTCCATCTATCAACTGGTGCAGGATTTCGCAACCATCCACAGTATGTTACTTTACCAAACGGTACCCGCAGTGAAACCTGGGAGCCCCAAAAATCTCCGGTCAAGGGGTCACCCGCACCTTCCAGTTACTGGCTAGTTGGAGGTTTCCATAAATGGGGGTACCCCAAAATGGATGTTTTATAAGGGAACATCCTATTTAAATGGATGATTTAAGGGTACCCTCTGGTAAACTGTCCCATAATTATGGAAAATCATCATTTTCAACGGGTAAATCCACTATAAATGGGCCATTTTCAATGTCGCAAACTGTTAAATTACCAGAGGGTAGCCCCATTGATGGAAACCATGAGTTTTTACGGTAGTTTATTGCTATTGATCCCCCCATCTGTGGTTAAAAAATCCGAATCCAATACCCTAAATCCCCAAACGGTTGGTTTTTCAAACGCTTTCCCTACTGTGGGTGATCATACCCTCTGGTCATGACAAACATAGCCATGGAAAATCACCATTTTTAGTAGGTAAACCCAGGTAAACCATCTATAAATAGGCCATTTTCCATGGCTATGTTAAATAACTAGAGGGTAATCCCCAATAGATTAAATAGTAAAAAAAAACAATTCATTGACCCATATCAGTAACCATGATTTATCAATGATATCCCCATGAATGTTTGATATAGATTAGATTCCAAATAAATCCCCATGAAATCACCAACTGACATTTATCATGTTCCCATTATATTCCCATGATGATCCCATTATATTGTTATATCAGAATATGTTTAATGGTTCCAACCAGGTACAGTATTTTCTTAATGGGATAATATTTATATCTATATCATTTGAATATAGAACCATTAATTATATAACTTAATTATATATAACCAAACAACCAGTTGATTTTTCAATGGTTCCAATGCCCCCAAAGGGCACTTCCTCAGGTGCAATTCCATCTGCTGCACCAAAGCAGCGGGCCCGCCCAAACGTCGAAGGTCGAAGACCCGCAGCAGCCCGTCGTGACAACCAGTAAGGAGACCGTGCGCCTTTGGGGGACCAAAGTGGAAAGTTCACCAAAATGGTGAGGAAAAAACAGCTACCATGGGTGATCTAACTATATTAAAGTATGATCATTATTGTGGGTTACATTTGAATCAAGGTGGGGTTGATTAAAAAATTGGATTTGAACCATGAACATGTGGATTTAAAGTCCTACATGATTGGTTTTTGATGATTATTTAACCCCAAATTCATGGAAATGTCATCAAAGGTACCTTATCCAAACGTGCACCACCAAGGCTTTTGTGAAGTCTTCCTAAATACGATCAAACCTTTTTGGGAATAACCAGGTTCAAGTTCAAACCTTCAAAATATAACACTAAAAATTACGTGCTCATATGTACTCATGGGGTACCTGCCCTGCCGTGCAGGGGCGGAAGTTTCGAAACGGTGAAATGACTGATTACAAGGACCAATAGCCTGAAGCCATCTCATCTCTTGGGACTGGACATCTCCCAACCGCCGGAGAAAAAAGCGCAATCCAAGATCCTTTGTCGTCGGTGGTTGAAGTCTCGATCCCAAGAAAAGATAAGTAGAGCACCGGAATGACATGCTGCCAGAACTGCACAATTTGTATTGCTGCCCTCTCTTCCCCACTGACCCGGAGCCAAAACTCGTGCCCATCAAATTCAAATTGAAATTGGATTCGGCATTTGCGTGTGGCGAGCAACAGACTCACGACTGTCTGCTGCATTGGGACAGCGACGCAACTGCTGTCAAACCCAACCGTGATGGAAGCTGCGATGGGAATAGACAACTTGTCGAGTGAGCCGAACACATCCTGCAAAGTCACTTGCTGACCTTCAACAGCTTGCCATATGGCATCTCGCTGCAAGGAATGTTTGTGAGGTGGAAATGTTCAGGGTGTATCAGGGTGTGAGGTGCCAATGAAAAAACATCAAAGAATCAATGCACAAATGACTGACTGACCGAACCAACGAACGAACGAACAAATACTCGAATGACTGACTGACTGACTGACTGACTGACTGGCTGACTGGCTGACTGACTGACTGACTGAAGGAACGAAGGAACGAAGGAACGAAGGAACGAAGGAACGAAGGAACGAAGGAACGAAGGAACGAACGAACGAACGAACGAACGAAGGAACGAAGGAACGAACGAAGGAACGAACGAACGAACGAACGAACGAACGAACGAACGAACGAACGATCGAGACCTTCAATCTTACTAAGTGGATGAAGCCAATCACTGGCAACAGGAATGCGTCAACTCACCGATACATCCTGTTATTAGCATTAATGTAACCCTTATACAAGAGGTATCAGGGTCGCCCTGCATTAGCTGGTCAGATGGGGATACACATGTCACATCATCAAGATTGAACCGCACACCATCCAACAACCACATGAGGCACCTGAGGTTGATGCACATATGTGCATCCATGGTTCCAAGATTCATCAGCTTCAGCAGCTTCAGCAGCTTCAGTAGCTCATGAAGACGCTCAAACCGCTCAAACCCACTTCGTTTTTCTCATTGCGCTAGTTGCTGGGTCTCTGTTGGCCCAAGTCTGGTTTCAAGTTTTCATGGATTTCACATCTGCAAGTTGCAAATGTTGCGTCGTATAGTATAGATATGCTGCTTTCGGCACACAAACACTAAGAAAGAAAATCAAGGCTGCGAGTATGGTCCTTCAAAACCACACACAGCCAGCGGCAAAGGGCATAATGCACATTCGGCATCTCATCACCCCACATGCTAATGCGCATAAAAAGCCCCAGTGGTCGCCGATTCTGTGACAACAAACATTGGTTACTGGCTACTCATAGTCATATCTTTTACTTAACCAAAGGGAATCCTGAGACTGCAACAATGAAAGTTCATACCAAAACTGATGATGATTCATGATGATGGTAGTGATAGCATCTATTCAGACATACTTTGTCATTCCTTGTCCACTCAAAATCTCATCCTACAGATTGACGGCGAGTCATCGGAGACATCATTTTAACAAATGTTTGCCTAGGGCAATCATATGGGCGAGGGACTGGTCAGTCTTCTTACCGCTGGTAGTTCTGGACTTAAAGAGCTTGCTGCCACCTTTGATCGAAGCTGCATATGCCAAAGGCCCAAGTTTGTGAGCATTGGCGCCTGGATCAGTGGTATCTTTGTTCTCCAACTTCTCCTTGTCAGCGGTCGCAGGGTCAGCTGCTGATGCAGCTGCTTTTTGAGCTTGGGCCAATGCTTCTTGCATAACACGGGCTCTGGCAGCACGGGTGTTCTTCTCCTCCTGAGCAACCATTCTGGTGATCGGAATCTTGTCTGGCTTGACAATTGCTTCGCGGGCTTTGGATGCAATCTCCTCCAACTTGTCCTCACGGCTGATCAATTCATTCACAAGCTTCTCCCGATCCTCAAGCTTCTCTGGACAATCCACTCCAAGCGAAGCCAACAAATCCTTGAGTGGGTCAGCAGCGACCCCAGAAGCAGCGCCACTGCCACTTCCGCCGGCACCTGACCCTTGTCTGGGCTTGCCGCCGCTGCGAGATTTGGCTTTTGCAGAGGCCTTCTGCTTCGAATTTGCACTGGACTTTGCTGCTGCTTTCTGGGCGTTGGTGATCATGGTGCGGACAGTCTTTTCAACATTGTCCTTTTGTGTTGTCACTTCTTTCTCCAACTTGTCGTCAAGGTCAGAAACCGGAATCAAGGCCTGAATGTCCACGGAAACACGCACATGCTTCTGACCCTCAACCATAGCTGAGACTTGCTTGTGCTGCTCTGGGTCAAACATCATATCTGGCAGGTACATAGCTGTCAAGTTGGTCTGGTACTTGCCAAGCTTGTAGAAGACCACACCAAGTTTGATGGTCGTTTGCTGAAAGTACGCCTGGTCCATTCTGGTCACGGTCTTTGCAGCCCAGCCAGGAACACAAAAGTCCGAAGAGAGAGGATCTTTACCAGGCTCCATCCACCAATCCACCTCAAAATCAAACCAGAACAGGGATGATGAGAAGACAAAGCCACTAGCCGTGGTGTCAGTCTTTCATTGTTCCATCATGAAACATCAACTGTAAAAAGAAAGGGTTGAAACCGATAGGGAAATCTCGGATGATGTTCTGAATGTGCTAACTGTCTCCAAGACCCGCGTCTCAAAATTGTAGCCTCTACTAGATGAAGTAGTTTCAGATGAACTATCGCATGCAGTTGTCAGTACTACCGGTTGCAGCTGGCTGTAGATCTTGTCGCTTATACATTCCCATCTCTCATCAGACCATATGTACATATGTATACACAGTGTATATAATATGCTATCTTGTTTACAAAAGTGACCACGGACCACTGACTGACCATGGATCGGTTTCTACGGAGTGACGTAGAGATGTACACACTGACAAATACTGATTGGTGGTGGGTCCATGTGTGAGAAAGAACCCACGCAAGTTAGAACAATCTGTTCTGTTGTACATTAATGATGTGATGAACTCACTTCACTTTGTGTGAGTCAGTAGGGTCAAGAGACCAAGTCAAACTAAGAATGAAGTATCACATCACATCACACCACTTCAAATGACATGTTCTAAAATTGTGACAAAACAAAAAAGTCACATTGTTCGCCAATGTGTAGCTCGTTCCTGTTATCTTGCCCGGAAAGCCAAGGAACACCAAATGCGGAGCAACAGAGGTAACCATTCTTCGGCTTATTTGGAACAATGCGATGAACCAGAGGTAAGAGCAAATCATTTGGCACGGGCATGGACACTTGCACGGCCTCTGCCTTGTTTGAGACGCCCAAGTTGACATAGACGTTCTTGAGATGCAGTGGTGCAAGTACTTCATACGCTGACCACAAAGCTGCATTCAAGTTCAGCTCAACAACCTTGAAAAAGCTTGCATCAATCTTGTCATCATCCAGTGAAAGTGCCTTCCACTCTTTCGATGCGATGATGGTCTGCTTGAAACTTTCGCTGACAAAGTTGTTGAACTTGTTGATTGTGTGCACCAACTGCTCTGATTGGGTCTTCCCATCGACGTCTTCATGACCTTGGTGTGGAAAGCGATTATCGTAATTTCGTACTGATTGACTGATTGACTGTCAACCTTGACCTTAAGATCATTGAATATATTTTCTCAACTGGAAGAATAGCATTGAGTGTCAATGCTGAAGTTTGTTGCTGAAGACTTCAACAAAACCACGAACAAGAAAGCCTGACTGAAAGGCTGAAAGCTTGGAACGATTCACAGTCATGATCACATCACATCGATATTTTCGATGCAATTCAAACATAGCATCAATAGAACCAAGACTTAAAACCAAATATCTATCATCAGAGGCGAGGGGAAGTCAACACCGCCCAGCCAGTGCGAAATCAAATGCTCACTCACCTGCTTTCAATCAGTTTACTTGTGTAGCCCAGACACCACCAGGTGTCGAACCCACAGGCTCAGTCTTTCCGTTCTTGTCCTTGTCCTTGTCCTTGTCACCCCCATCTTCAACCTCAATCGCAGCCTCTGTGTTTCCATCATCCCCCTTGGCTTTCACGGCTTGCATAGACTTGTTGAGGTTCGCCAGCAATGACAAAGACGAAGCGGTAACAGCAGAAGGTTGAGGGACACTTTGAGCTGTTTCAGACTTCCCTGTCGCATCCTTGTCAGACTGCTGCTCGCCACCTGGTTGACTCGTGGTTTGCTTTGCCTGTTTGGAGACATACTTGCTCACTGATTCTACGACATCTTGGATTGAGTTGCCTTCACGCAAATGGGATGTCCATTGCTTGCCCCATTCTGGCGCACCCAGCAAAACATCAAATGACACCAGTGTCTGCCTTTGACGGGAAGTCATGTTTGTCAGAAATTGGGCGAGGCACTTCCCCGTAGATTCAGACACGTCAGAAATGACAAGCTCTGGTACACATGACAGGCACGCATTCAGCAAATGTAGAAGATATTCAAATCTCAAGCCAATGAACTTCTCCAAGTGCTTCGCATCAGAAAAAACCTTGGTCAAGTAAGTCAAGGCCAAAGTCACTAGCTAGTATCAACTTGCGTTTTGCTGCACCATTGAAGCAGCACGGTACATACATCATGAACATCAAAATCAAAATCACTTTGAACATATCAATAACATAACTATACATAATGATAGATATAATTTAACATACATATCTATATAATTTGGTCGATGAGCCGATGGCCAGAGCAAAAACCATGAGTTGTCATCAGTCATGAGACTCATGAGAACGTTCAGCGAGTTGGTTGATTTGATTTAAGAATTTGGGCCCGTGGCCTCTGGTCACAAGCAATGGTCCACCATACCCAACATGAACTGGACATAGTGTATGGGTAGATGAACAATGATAAGAACACGTATTGGAGAAATAGTTCAACGGCCCAAGAGCAATGATCATACCTTGTTTCCTGCAAATGCCCACAGATTTTGGTTTACAAGAAACTTCTTTGGAACCTTCCACTAGCTCCATACGAGAGGTGTAGATCTCGATGACGTCAGCCGCAAATGCAATCCAAGCTGGTGGAAGAGCCTTGTCGATGAAGTTCTGAAAGTAGCAAATGAGGTCGATCAAAGCCCAACGCTTTGTCTTGCACTCAAGCAACCTTGCGTGGATGGCATGAGGTCTGGCATGACATACCTACAGTTCATTGGCTACTTGATCATTAGCAAAACAAGAGCGCGCTAGCAGGAGTATCAAAAGGCCAGTGGTATTCAGTATTCTTTGACTTTTCCATTTCCAAAGGCCGGAGATGCTACTTTATTCTTCGTGTCTCTGCGTCCAACCTGACATTGTTCATCCATACAAACATACACTCATTCTGTTATCTTAGGGCATGCAACGTTGCGACGGTATCTCGAACTGCAGGTTGCATCATTGGTGGCAGTCTACCGGATTGTTCCAAGAAGTTCTTCAAGGGTTGGACAAGTGATTCACCCTTTGTAGTCATGGTAGCAGCAATGCGCTTGATGGCAAGCTCCTCATCGTCAGCCATGATGATCATTGTCACAGGTTTGTTCACGAAGCTTTCGCAAAGAGCCTTGGCTAGTTCAAACGTATTGGCCTGATGACGGCCAGAACCTGCACTTCCCGAAGCAGACGTAGATGCCCCTTGAATGAAGTCATATGCGGCATCAAACGCAGACAGAAATGTTGCCTGCAATTCTGGTCGCAGTGATGACCAAACACGAAGATCCTTGCCATTGAGACAAACTCTGGACTCAAAGACAAACTGCAAGAAAATGCCAGCCTGATCATCAGCGAATCATCATCATACAAGTGCTGGGCAATGAATCAGTCGCCGAAACAGTTTACTTCAATAAAGCTAAAACTAGAACTTTTTTTTGTGTGCAATGTTCAAGCTTGAGTCTTGACCAGTTGAAGGACTGAAGAGTGTGTGTGTGTGTGTGTCTGTGTCCATCGAAATCTCAGAAAACAAACCATCCATCAAAACACAAAGAAGTAAACCAGCCACAATGCCAAAAACAAACCGCACTGAGATACTTCAAAGCATTACCCCGGTTAATCACTTGACTTGACTGGACCTGGTTTCTGTTTCCTTTGCAGCTATGCCTTCGTGGTGTAAGACCATTCTGTAAAAATGCCAGCAAGTCACTGTGAACTCAAAGGCTGAAGCCAAGCCATCTGCTGACACAGTATCCCCAGTTCTTGCCTGGCCGTGTCAATGGCAACAGCAGCAAAGAACATTGCCCTAACCTCTGCTACCTTCATAAAGCATTGCGCTTTCCAACACCAAAGCAGCGTTTAAGAAAGGTTTCAACCGCAAACAAAATAGCAGCCAGTCACATACTTCAGCCTTTCGTTGTTTGTCAAGCCCTGAAGCATCGCTAGAACATATTGTGTTGATGCATGGAAACCCAAAACCAATTCAGGTGCAATATCTTGTTCTATCAACAGGCTTGGATACAGTATTGATGTAGGAGACACTCTGCGGATCAGAGTAGGGGACAACTCCACTGATTACATGTGCCACTATGACACTTCTATCAACCCTCATGTCATAGCCCACCTTAACAACCATCTCTGCATATCGCATGGCTTGCATGAAATCATCAATAGCTGTCAATGATCTTGTTCCAGGATCGTCTTCAGGGTCGGATGAACAGTTCAAGGGTGCAACGGTCTTGAGAAATTTCTTCTTCTCATCATCTGTCCACGCAACAAAGGATGACTTCTTGTCGGACTTCTTCAGCTTTTGCTCTGACAACTTTGGAACACCTCCTGGGCAGGCGGTAGCAGCCAGATTGATTGTTCGATAAATTGATGCCACAGGTTGCCACAGGTTTAACTTTCTAAATTACTTTACTTCGTGTGATCCCCACCATGACATTTATACATTTTGTTACTGGCAAATCTTCTGGCATTCTATCTGACATATCTTCTGGCATTCTATCTGGCATATCTTCTGGCATTCTATCTGGCATATCTTCTGGCATATCTTCTGGCATATTATCTACTCAAATCTTCTGGCATTCTATCTGGCACACATTCTGGCACTTTATCTGGCATATCTTCTGGCATTCTATCTGACATTTTATCTGGCATTCTATCTGGCATACCTTCTGGCATTCTATCTGGCATATCTTCTAACATTCTATCTGGCATATCTCCTGGCACTCTATCTTGCATATCTTATGGCATTTTATCTGGCATATCTTCTCGCATTCTATCTGACATTCTATCTGGCATATCTTCTGGCATTCTATCGGGTTTTCGAGGTCCAGCGGTGTGCACTGAGCTCGGAAGGCCCCAGGTTGAGGTCCAGCAGTGCGCACTGAGCTCGGCAGGTCCCAGGTTGAGGTCCAGCGGTGCGCACTGAGCTGGGAAGGTCCCAGGTTGAGGTCCAGCAGTGCGCACTGAGCTCCGAAGTTGGCGAAGAGCTTGGCCAAGAGTTGGCAAGGCAACAGTGGACGTGGAAGTGGAGGCAGAGGTGGTAGAAGAGGAGGAGGACGCGGAGGAGGAGAAGGAGGAGGAGGAGGAAGGAGGAGAAGAACAACTCTGATAAAATCTAACAACCCTCACCTGGCAGGTGGGGAACAAAAACAGAAACAAAAGCATAAACCACATGATCTGATACATGTTGATTTTTTCATACAGAGAAAAAGCCTGACATACAACACCACCGGGCCGGTTGAGTCAATGGGTGGATTGCTATGAAATCATGTAAGCGGGAATTAAATCAACATGGATCAAGAATACCTAAGCCTGTGTATACCATACCCTCATCATCACTATTCCACACACTTAAATTTTGTCAGGTGACTGGCTCACAACACAGGCCAACAACTCACCCCAAGCCCCCCAGCTGCTAAACCATTGTAGATCGAGTTTCGCTGCTGGCTGCCAGACTCATCATCCATGTCCACATCACCACCAAAGCTGATTTGCGGAGCATTCCCATCGTCTGCTGGTTCATGCCACTGGGGTTCAGATTGTGCAGCAACAACTTTACGTTTCTTTTTGATTCCCAATTCTTCAAGTTCTGCACTAACAGCTTCAGGCAAAACACCCCTCTTTGACGGTTTCTTGGATTGCTGCACCTCACCACCAACATTGCCTGTGCCAGAGGCATCTGCAGTTGCAACTGATTTGTCTACCAACTTCTTGAAGACAACAGAATCCATCATGGGTAAATTAATCAGGTTCATTCTTGCTGAATCTCCCTCCCAATGCTTGAAGTTCCATCCGCAAATCCGCTGGCCCATCATGCCACTCGAAGCTTTTGGAACCTGCACGTTTGCAGCGGTTGTGTCAAGCTGGCGATTGAAGAAGTAGAAGTAGAAGTAAAATTGAACACACAAGGCTGGTTCTAAGCAAAACAAGGTTAGGCCGTGGGTCTTGGGTAGGTATGAAAGCATTCCATTGCACCTGTAAACATGCACAAGTGCTGCTTGAATGTGTTGTCACGCCGTTGAAAGCTGATATCAGTCTGAGTCTGAAGTATGCATTCTTCTGCAGCAAAGCTAAGCAAGCCATACCAAAATCTGAAAGATCAGTTCATTCTAGCAAAAGGTCTTTATAGACAACATGATGTTGTTCCCTCGCCTGACTTGATCTAATCCTGGAACATGTTGCTAGGACATATATCTGATACAGCTGTCACGTCATGACCGCCCAGGTCTCAAAAAGATGGGAAAACTAGGGCCCCCACACAGTGCCGGAGTGAATGTGAAAGCATAACTCCAACGCAGTCTGCACTCCAAAATTTGGACATGTTCCCTACCACGAGCAAGGTGATTTGATGCATGCATGCGATCACCTGTGTGGGGTCCATATTCTCATGTAGGAAGTCCACCGTGCTGTTGAAGTACTTCTTGAGTTCGTCCCAAATTTTATATTTCTTCACCGTGTGCATCAGGCTGAGGGCTTTTCTGTAGGGGTCCCACTCCCTGAAGTACATGCCTCAGGATTTCAACTCATTAAGCTCAACCAAAAATAATTGATTGCTGCTCCGTCGTAGCAGAATCATGGCGGTCATAGGGATAATACAGGTTTCATTCTTCAGGGCCAAGCACCTAACAACTAGTTCAATTTGTGCGTATCCTTCTGTCAGTCTGTCTGTTTAAATTCGTTATATACTTCCGCAAAATGGAACATGCAATGTTGTCGTTACATGAGCTGGTAAAGAAAAGCATATAGGCATAAGCCTAGCTGAAAAACTCCAACCAGCGACAAAACCCCCCGACCAGCAACATAACCCAGATGCTTTTCTTGACCACAAACTCCTTGTAGTACTGTTTGTACTTCGGGTTGTATGAGTTAAGGCCGGTGCAACTACTGCATTCATGTTCCCACTCGGACTCGAGTTGCATGGATTCTTCCATATGGTCCATGAAGTTTGCTCCAGATCCAACATGAAATGAATTGTGCACTTCAATGAACCGACGCCAGATTTTGTCTGGAATCTCTGGACGTACCAGCTTTACCTTCTTGAGACCCCTGTCCATCACAGAAGCCACGCACGGGTTCTCTGGCTGCTCCGTGAAGCTTCTGTAGCAAGCTTCCAATCTGTGGTTCCAGGTTCCTGCCTCGAGCGGGAACTTTCGCTCGGCGGTGCGGAACTTGAAGATCGGCTCTCCTGACCACAAACCCCAAAATTACAGCTCCAAGTTGGAAACAAAGACCAATATGAATGTATGCAAACCGAAGACGTGAACGTTTCAGAGTCTCAGGGAGATGTAGTTCATACAACATGTGTAAACATATATCGGGTCGGTCATGCAGAACGTTTGGTCATGCAGAACGTTTTTTCATAGCATCGTTTCAGTTACAGATACAAATTCTAGCTAGGCTTAACTTTCACTTGCGCCTCGGGTCCCAACAGCTCACAAGAACAAACAAAATCAAAGACATTGATGTAATGAGTGTAATGGTGTAAATCTAACCCAACGACTCCAGCGACCAAACAATATGTACAGTTTAAGCCTGGGCCAGTGATCAAAGTTCTATGACAGGGCAAGGTCTTGAAATTATTCTAGTTTCCAGTTTCATCATGTATCTCATGCTTATGATGCCCCAGAATGTTGGAGGACGCTTCCAAAAGTTCAAACCTGTGTCTGACTGTATGAGCAAAACAATATCCTGCTGCAAGTTGTGAAATGGACTCTGTGAAGATCCTCTGCTTGTAGCACTCCACTGTAGATTCCTGAAGTTCCCGGCTCAGAGGGCTTTTGACTACTGACCGAATTCGATGTGATCCACTCTGTCCAGCGTCCTCGGAGGTCACATTCTGAAAGAATGGTACATCTAGTTCACCATCTGAATAGTAAGCCAGAACGTGCTCCAACAGGGCACCGCCACTCAATGGAACATCTCCCCAAAGATCTTCTACACTCAACTTTGGATCAAAAATGTTGATACCGGAGGTCATGACATGCTCAGGCTTCACACCACACAAAAGCCCTCGACGCACATGATCGCCACTGCCACTAGCACACCCAGATGATGATAGCTTCGCCATCTGGGGACTGAGAAGCTACTCTAGCCGCTAGTCTTCAAAGGGGTGCAACTCGCAAGTCACAAGTCGATTCAATCAGCAGACCAGTCGATCTACGAATCCTCGCCTCACCTCTACCAAATGGCTACGGTGGAAGACAACGCATGCAGTGCAGCCAGAAACCACATCCTCTGTTGCATTCCAATATTCCACTGAACCTGACAAGATGACAACTAACGCGCTGCTATGAAGACATATTTCATCACCACCTGCCTGCTTGATAGCAACGAGTCAAACCGTCAAACTAAATTAGGTGGCATGAACTCAAGACAGACGAGGGAGATAGTAAAAAGACAAAAGCCTGATACAATCAAGCGCCATCCGCACTGCATACCTTCTCAAACTTGACGCAGCTAAATCTGAGATGTTCAGATAATTCACATAATCTCAAACATTGGTACGAAAAGGACAAACGACCCAGCTTGTTGTTTTTCCAAGGCGACTCGAACCGGTGCTCTTGACAATGCTACACCCAAGAGACTCACAATACCCCTGTATGTACCTCAGAGACTCTCAGTGAAACAAAAAATTCAAATCAATCAAGATTGGTACTTGACTGAGCTGCACCTACCAACGTCTGGCAGACATGCATGACATGCACTTCACGATGTGCAACTAACTACTTGTAGCTGGGCACTGGGCACAGCAAAGCAACGACTTATACAAAACAAAACATTGCTTGCGGTTTAGACTGCAGGCCTGCAGTTACCCAAAAAACAAAATCCTTGGCTTCATATCTCCATTGTCTATGGAAAAGCAACTTAGCGTTTGTTGTGGCTACAACCAACCCATCCAAAGCCACAAACGGGTTTGTCAACTGAAACGACCCAGGCTGAATTGAACTGCGAATTTCTGCAAAGTGTGAAACGTATAGGTCCCTCCTCATTTGAATCTCTGGCACCAAGAGTTGCCACCTGCACAGCTGTATGCATTGGCGGTGGCCCTGCCTAAAGAAGTCAGCAATCAATCAACTACATGATTCTGGAAGGGATCCTGTATATCATTGTTGTTTCTGATTTCTGATTTCAATTTCCCACCGATGGCTAAAAGACCAGGTGGGCAAGTCACTACGTAACAACATCACACGATGCAAGAATCTGACTGCAAGTGCAGCAAGTATGATCACACAGCACTCAGCACAGCAAGTTCGCAATTAACCGACTGACCGACTGATGTTTTAGTCCCATCAAAGAGGTTTGGCTGAAACGGTTTGGCTTGCTAACACATGCAAACCAATCGGGCGCCATCAGGCTAAGCCATGAATAAGCGAATGAATCCTTGTGGGCTAAGCCGAGCTGATTCATGCAACCGAATTCCATAAGAAGTGATTGAAGTGATTGAGAGGAACTCACTGACATTGTCGTTCTTCACACAGTGGACAACAGCTTGACAGTTTGACTTGGTATCTTCTCTTGTCAGACGAGACTATCTATGTCGACAAACCTTGATTGAACATTAGTGATAACATAACAGGTTAATAAAAGACTAAGTGACTATGCAAACAATGCATGATTGAGTCTACTTATACTTACCTTGCCTCTCAATCATCAGCCGTGAAGTCAAGTCAGGTGACTTCCGCCTTGCATGCACTTAAATTAATAATGCGACGTGTGAACCCTCATCTGTGCCGTCTACCACGACCATGTGCTCATCAAGTCCAAAGTCAATCCTCGACACCGTGAAGAAGCCGGAACGGTTCGGAACGGAAAGATATAAAATCAAAGCAGTAAACTGTACAACTGTACAATGCTCACAGGAAATTCAGGTGACCATGGGAGAGTGCCAGGACACTGCAGTCACCTAGCTTTTGACGTACACGGATGGTCGGCTTCTTCTTGCATCCTTCAGGTGAGCCTGCTTCGTGATGCCTTTTCTTTGCTGATCTCACGGTGGTTCGTGCATCAGAAATGGTCTTGAAGAGAGGGCAAACTGGCTGTAAAGGAATCTCGCTCAAGCTATGCAACTGGATCAAACCCATCACTGCACAGTGCATGGAGTTGCCAGCTTGTGCCGCCACATGCCGGCCAGTTCGCTTTGGGTTTTCAAAGCTGAAAACCGAAAGACCATCCGATGGATCATGAATGAAAGGCACGATCGGGAACCCTTGACACATGAGAAGTTCTGTGGCTGTCATCCATCTTGGTGGGGTGCAGGTGTCGCTCCACACAAGTCCGCAGTTGTGAATCAATGTGAACATGGCATGTTCACCTGCCTTGTGCCCGTGTCCGCTGGACGGATCTTGGTTGAGTTGGTAAGCAGTGTTGGGCCAAGCACCCCTGTAGGTTTCAAGGAACTTGAACTCAGATTCCGTCAAGGACATTTCCCATGTGGATCTTTTGCTCACATCGATGTCACCATCAGCAATGGCAACATCCTCTGACATATCATCAGGGCTTGGCTTCTTCATTCTGCACGTTGGCCTGCTCCTAGCCCATTTGATGTCTTCAACACATTCATTTTTCACAACACCTTTGGACTGCATGCAGGGCATATGCATGATCAGAATGTCTTTCCATGACCAAGAACATGCCCGAAAGAAACGGCGTTGGAAACGGCTGAGAGGGCTGATCTGGGGGAGGCATTTGACTTTGTGTCGCATGATGATAAACTCACGCTCTCTGCTGAAGGGAAATCCCAGAAAGGATGGATCAAGAATTGTAGCTTCCATCCAATAGTATTCGGCCAAGAACCTGATAATCAGATTTCCCAACCCTGCATCATGAACTGAAAGCGGTTTGTCACCATCAAGCTTCGCAACATGAGCAAAGGTCGGGCCACCTGTCGTTTTGACGTTCTCAGATACTATAATGGGTTCCTGCAGTTCTACTCTCAAGCCAATCCATGCCAATGTAAAAATGGTTTCTGGATCCATCTGCGAAAGGCCACTTCCTTTCTTGGAGTAAGGACGGCAAGAGGTTCCAGCTACGTGACGTTTTGCTGGCTTGATTGCACATGTACGTTTGTGAGTCAAACAATATGCTTCTTTCTTCATGCACTTCTTGCTTGCGATCAGAGGCCCAAGAATTTCAACTGCAAGGTGAGGTTTGGAAAGCAGCATTTGCACTGTCTCTTGCATTTCGTCACGAAAGAAATGCTGGATGTTTTGATACAAACACGTATCATTCTTAATGGCCATGGGAAGTAGCTCCTGGCAGCATGCTTCATTCCATTCCACTTGGCTCAAAACTCTTTGTTTTCCAAAGTCTCCATGTGCTAACTTGCCCCATGAATGTCGGAGGTTGTGCATGGCAGCACCTGCTGCTTCGATCCCGGTGAATGCAGTTGACATGCTATCGTCTTGAAGTGCGTCAAACAATCTGACAAGCTTTTCTTCCTCCTCTTCTGAAGCCAAGGTGGTCAAACAATCCTCATAGAACAACATTGATTCTGCCATTGATGTGACAATTTTCTTGTTTCTTGTTTCACTCACAAGAAAGCTGGGTGGAACATCAGTCTGACATTCATCGTCTGTTCGGACCTGTGGGGTTACTGGCACTGGCTGTGAATCCTGATCATCACCAAACAAGTTGAACCGAGAAAACTCAATGTGCTCTGGCTCTGGCACATCTGTGGCATCTAGAGTCGCAGATGGAGGCTTTACCTCAACCTGGGTCTGTGGATCAAGAACGGTTTCCGCTGCAGCTTGGTCAGGTTCATCCAGATTCACACTAGGGACCTCAACCTGATCACTTTGCAGTTGCGGCGACTGTTCTTTTCCTTCATGACTCACTGCAGTCACAGTTGCAGTTGAAGCATCATCCCCTCGGTGCAAGCTCGTGCTGGTGACTTTCAACGCAGAGTCTGTGGCTGAACCCTTGGCCAAATCTTCTACACCCGCCTCGGCAGAAATATGCTTGTTTCCTGCCTCGACGCATTCACTACCATATTCCACTTCCATAATTCTACTCAGTTCATGTGTTACTGAATCTTCAGATTGCTGAGAAGGCAAACACTCATCAATCTCTTCAGTTGGAGCTGGGTGATCTGGTGCAGCTACAACTGCCTTTGACTCATCAACAGGGTCCTCGTGCGATGTTGCACCGGACGATGGCACCTTGGGTTGACGAAGCAATGGTTGTACTTCTTGGCGAGACAATGTGACAAAGACATCCTTAGCTTGCGGAATGATATGCATGGGTCACAACTGAATGAATGACCGGCCAATATAGCACATGCTTGTAAATAATCCAAAGCGACCACCACGATGGAGACATCACGATTAATTGATTCAAAGTTCAGAGATGAGAAAAGTAATATAGGAAGAGATGAAAACAAGAAATGAGAACATTGCTGTTAGGCACGGCTCACGGGAAAAGATAAGTTTAAGTAAAGTAAGAAAATGATGCAATGATATATCGAAGAACTAACACAAAACAACATATGACAAACGCATAAAAACTTGAAAATATCTGACGAAGATCTTGCCCAGTAAGCGTTGTGTTCTTGCCAGTTGGGATTGCCTTCAAAGACTTGATCTCATGATGCTCAAGAACTCGAATCAGCTTGACTTCCCAAATTGGCCATGGTTTCTTTGGATCAAGTCCCAAACTGTTCCGCATAGCAAGCACGTCCCCTGTTCCTGTTGGGAGCCCGCGACCCTGAGATTGGAACTTGTCCTCCATGATTCGTCTATTGCCCTTGAACTTGATCTCTGCCCTAAGCTGTACTACTGGAGCTGTGCTTCCAGATCCAGGTGCAAAGATGGATTCTCTGATGGGTCCCGCCTTTTTGCTGTCCCTCTGAAGCAAAAAGAATGATGTATCTTTTGGCAGACTGCGACATTGAAATGACATGGGAATCAACTCTTGATCACCTGCGCATATTGCATCCGCAGTTGGTGGATCAACAACCAAACCGATCCAAGCAGTTGCCATTGCAGCGCACAAACTGAATGAAGCCGTAAGCAATTTCTCTTGCTTGTTCTCAAACCTAATCAACATATATTTTTCTTGCAACATTGTGGA